GGGATCCTTACACATCTCTCTGTTTAGTTTTCGTATGATCTTCTGTGTATCTCCTGTCTTCATCCCCCAGTAAAATGTTACCGTGCCAAGATCCTCAGTAATATCTGTAGTTTCTGTTGCCATTTAAGGTAATATTTAGAGGCTTCAGGGATTATGACCTTGGATGGCCTTACTTGGTCTGGTATAATTGGGATCTATCTATATCTATATATCTATATATGTATCTATATCTTTCATAGATTAGTGAAATTAAGTACAATAGGTTTAAAGCTATGTTGATTCACTATTTTTTATTTGTCCTTTATGTTCTATTTTTTTCCTTTTTGATAAGTGGTTTTTTTATATTTACATATTATATGCTGTACTGATTTTATTACCTCTTTGTGGATCCTGAAGTATGTGTCACAATTTCCCAGGAGATGGTGCACACCTGTAATCTCAGTACTAGGCAGGCTGAGGCAAGAGGAGCGCCTCAGATTTGAGCAAGCCTGGGCTATACAGTGAGTTCAAGACCAGCCTGAACTCAATAGTGAGACCCTGTCTCAGAAAAACAAAAACAAAACAAAATTTTGTCACTATTCAGCTCAGAAAATGCTCAGAGAAAAGCAGTCATAATTATTAAATAAATGGACTAGCATGGTTGTGTTCAAATACAAGTTCACAAATTCTAGAATTGAACTTCACACAATTTTCAAGTATCAGAAAAATTCTTCCTCTTAAAAGATAAAATAAAACAAACAACAAATTCTTCTTTTTTTGTCCTGTTCTCCAGTTTGAATGGGTTTCAAAATGCAAACCGAAAAAGAAAAAAAAAATGAAAAAAAAAAATGAGCCTGTGGGCCACATAAAACAAGCACCAGGCCAGATTTAGTTCATGGGCTATAGCTTGTTGACATCTGCTTTAGAACAACTAAAAAGGAAATATCTATAATGAATATTCAAGTGAATAAAATAGTGTACTAAAAATATTTAAGACAAAAAATGCAGTCAGAGGTAGAACAGAACTAAAGAGACAGAAAACAAATATCTAAATATGAAATGCAAATCTTCACTAAATGTGTATGATCTACATATCACACTCAAAAAACAGAAATTATTAGACAATAAAAAAAGCAATTTCCACCTATTGTCAAACTTTACAAAACATACGTTTGGCGGGGGGCTTCTCTTGCTTCTTTGAGGCAAGGTCTCTCTGTTTATCAGGCTGACTCTGAGTTCCCTATGTAGTCAAGGCTAGCTTTGAACTTGTTCGTTCTTCTGCCTCTGTTTCCTGAGTGCTGTACTCACAGGCATGTGCCGCCATTCCCTGCTCAAAAACATACTTTTTGATTCAAAAGCACAAGTGTTTGAAAGGAAACAGATGAAAAAAGTTATACCATACAAACTGTACGAGTACAGGAATGGTTATGGTGTTAGCAAGTAGAATGTAAATATTACTAGAGACAGTAAAGAATATTTTAAGAATGATGTTACGTTGTCAAAAGAAACATGTGAAAACTAGAAAAATTGAGCAAAAATAAAGTTGTATTGGGTTATAGCCAAAAGTATAAAACAAATATCCACAAGGTCATGCTGATATAAATAAAAGGTCAGCTAGGTGTGGTGTTGCATGCCTGTAATCCTGGTGCTTGGGAAGCTGAGATGAGAAGATCACTGCCATTTTGAGGCCAGATTGGGCTAGTGAAGCAATCTGAACTACATAGTGAGACTGTCTCAAAAATTCAACAACAGGGGCTGGGGATTTCGCTCAGCGGCATAAGCGCCTGCCTTGCAAGCAGGAAGTCGTGAGTTCCATCCCTAGTACCGATAAAAAAAAAAAGACAAAAAAAAAAATTCAACAACAGTAACAAAAAGATCAAATGAATGATGGAGAACAGACACAAAGCTCATAGAAGAATTTAATTTCTGTAGGTTCTCAATTCTTGGGTGGTAGAGCATAACTTGTCATCTAAGTGTGAGGTGTACATAGTGAGTTCCTTCTAATGAGTAAAGGAGAAGAGCTAAATTCATAGTGTGGAAAGGTAACAAATACTTCTTCAACTAGCTAATCCAGGCTAGCATCTGCAGCCTAAATAAATACACCTTTGATATGTGATGAGAATGGCATTATACCTCTCTGGTCTTTGACCTTGTAAATCCCTGTGTAATCCTGAACAAAACATTAGGTAAAGCTGAGCTGAAAGATGGTCTATAAATTACTTGACCATAGCTAGGCGTGGTGGTGTACAGCTATAATTTCAGCACTCTGGAGGCTGAGGCAGGAGCATCACCACAAGTACAAAACCAGCCTGGACTACATAGTCCAGGATCAGCCTGAATTACACAGTGAGTCGTTGTCTCAAAAAAAAAAAAAAAAAAAAAAAAAAAGAGAAGAAGCTCATAAAAAAGGGCAATCTGAGAATCTATCAAAATATAGGGGCACTTAAGGAGTTCACAGCTAAATGTAAAAGTTATCCTGGGTGATACCTTGAATAGGGAAAGGACATTAAGTAAAAACTAAGAAAATCTAAGGCAGGAGTGGTGATGTATGACTGTAATCCTAGGACTTGGGAGTCTAAGAAGATGATCAAGAACTTTGAGTCTTCCATAAGCAATTTAGCAACTTAGTGAAATGGTGTCTCAAAATGACAGAAAAAGAAGTCTACAAAGTAGCTCAGCACAAAGGGCCTGGCTTTAAAGCTCCTCTCATACTGGAGAGAAAAGTCACATTGTACTTCATAATTATATGCAATTATTTGTCAGTTGAGGCTTGGGGATATAGCTCAGTGGTTAACACTGTCCACCATGTATAAGGCCCTGAGTTAGATCCTCAGCACTACACAGAAAGAAAAAAACATGTTTTTACTGAGAAAAAAAGGTGTACTTCAATATAAAACACCAGTTTATATCCATGAGGTTATCAATGTTAGGCATAAAGTAAGCACTCAAACGTCTGTTTCCTTTCATATTGCCAAGTTATATGCTCATTTTGGGTATTTGTTGTGATACTGAGCCTGTGTGCATACACTTTTTATCTTTTGCGGCACTGGGGATCAAACCTCATTTATGCTAGAAAATCACTCCACCATTGAGCTACACCCACAACCCAAAAACATACACGTTTTTGAAAAAGGCTATGCTGGTATACGAGTATAGCAGGTATATTTTGTGTATGTTCATCCATCAATTGTGGGAATGGTCATAAGATCTCTGGAGAATAAGGTAAGTATTAAAGAAACATCAGTAAATAAAAATAGTTGTCTTATGTTAAAAAAGACAAATGATTTCCTATGTAATATATACCACTAAACATGAAAATTTACATGCAACAAGTAACTTAGCAAATTATGTGGTGTAATAGACCATCTGAAGAGTCTTATTTCCATTAAAAAAATTTAATCCATTATACAAACATTTCCAATAAGACAGTTGACATTCAGATAGCTGCTTTGTTAAGAAACAAAAAACCTGATCTTATAAAAATCTGTCAAGAACTCATAAAAGTCAGAATATAATCCATTTTATGAGGTGAACAAATATGGATAATGAACTTTACAAGGATATTCAGGAGGAAGGAAATATGTAGATCACTCTCACTAATAAACACATATGCAAAACTTTTTATCAGAGTTTGGGACTGAAAACCCCAACTCATGTGGCCCCAAGAGACTAAAATGCCAGTCAAAGTGATGAACAGTGGTCAAGGGTAGGAAAGGAATTTAATCAGCATGGCCACACTGAATTCCAGAGCCTCACAGGAATTTTAGGGCTTTTTAGAAAGGTAAGGGTTGTGGGTTTGCAGAGTTGGTGGGGGTGGGAGGATTGCAGAGCTGAGTCCACAATTCTTCAAAAAGGATAACCTGACTTAACATTTTAAATGAACACAGCACGAACTGGTTTTTCTTTTTCGTTTTTTGAGACGGTCTCATTATGTAATTCAGGCTGGCCATGAAGTCACAGTGGAGCCCAGGCTGGCGTCACACTTGGGGGAGTCTTCCTGCCTTGGTCTCCCAAATGCTGAGCTAACTGGCCTATGCCACTGTGTCTAGCAGTTTTTTTAAAATTCATAGCTATTTTATACTTTATTCTACAAAGAGGGTGTATATCTAACTACATGGCTGATTATGACATGGTAGATATTTCACTTTTACCCAAAGTTGTAAGACAATAAAAGAGATAAATACAAAAACGAAAGCAGAAGTACTGTTTTATCCTGCATTAGCTACCCATTAGGCTCAGCCTCAAAAGCCCTATTGTAAACTGATTCACTAAAAATAGTTCATATTGTGAAACTGATCCAGCGGATCAATCCGTGGGGTGTACCTGGAGGCGGAACGGGGATTAAATAAAGACATAGGGGAGACAAAGAGAGATGGAAACAAGTCAAGAGAATCCGATCAAGCCCCCAGTTTATTCCGGAAGTGATTACATCTTTTATAGGCCAAGGGCGGGAGGTGGGACAGGAAGAGGCTGTAAGCAGGAGAGGGTTATGGTTAATGTAGGCAGACGCAGTGCCCATAGAAGAGAGAGAGGCAGGGAGGCAGCAATGGGCTGTCGCTTGGGCTCCCTACATGAAACATTGTATTAGCTGACGTAATATGTTTCTTTTTATCAAGATAAATTCATTTGCTAATTCTTTCATAATGTCATGGGAAAATAACTGGAAACTCTTGGCACAAATGACTGCACTTAGTGAACTGATCCAACTCTAGTATGCTGCCTAGTAGCTTAAGTCTGTGTCTGTTTGATGACTACCGATCCCTTTAAAATACTTGCCTGAGGAAGTTCAGAATTGCAGACAGTTTACTATTTGCTCCAGCCAAACCAGCGTATAGACCCCTAACCCGTTTCTTATATTTAGAAAGTTGGTATTTTATAAATCAGTTCTCTGCCCTTTTGAGATATAAATCTACTACCTTGAACTTTCTCTTCAAAGATCCAGAAATGTAGGCATTCAAGGAGATACCTCTTGTTCTAGCCTCCCCATTCCTGTGAGAGGATCATAACCTAACTTTTTTTTTTTTTTTTTTTTTTTTGGTTCTGGAATTGAACTCACCACCTTGTGCTTTTCAGGCTAGGTGCCACTGAGCTATATTCTTGGCCCATAACCTAACTTTGAGGGTTGTCTTGCTCTAACTCGTGTAACTACTTCATCCATAAAGGGAAAACTTTCTATCTCTTCTGGATAAGTGCCAGTTAGTAAAAATTCAGATGGCATAGCCACATAGACTGGATTCTCCTTTCATATCCTCAGTCTTTCCTTGAGCACTCCTTAGCATTTCTTGTTTCCTGCATTTTGTTTCCCAAAATTGAGCTCCATTTACAATAGCTTCACTTCCCTACTGCAGTAGTTACTGCTGAATAAAATGTCTTTATTGCCTTAACATGATGTACTGCTTTGTTTCAGTTTAATAGGATTTAACTATTTTATATTTTTTAATACCACTTAATGCAGACAATTCTCTCATTAAATGTAAACTGAAAAAGTGACTATAATTTCATGGAGGTTTTAAAAATAAAACCTTGTTAAGATCAATAATTTGGAGGAAAAAAAATAAAACCTTGTTTGTTTGTTTGGAGACAGGGTCTCACTATGTAGTTCAGGCTGGTCTTGAACTCACTATGTAATCTAGAGTGGCTTCTAACTCATGGTGATCTTGCCTCTGCCTCCCAAGTACTGAGATTACAGGCATACTCAGCCATGCCTGGCTAATAAAACCTCTTTGTAGTTGATAACCTTGTATTATAAATTTAAATTACGGGACTGATCCATTTTCACAAAAGTTGAGAAAATAAATAAATTAAGGGACTGAATAAAGTTGAAAACACTGAGAATGACAGTATTGATAAATGTGAGCTCAGTAAGTATGATTGGGCTTACCAGTATAGTGGCTAAAAAACTCTACAAACTAGTGCAGGAAAAAAAAATTGAAATAAAAACCAGTCCAACACAAAGACAGGATAGAAAAAGGAAGCATGCAACACAAAATATAAAATGGCACATTTCTTTGTAAACATATCAGTAGCTGAATTAAATATAAATAGATTAAATGCCACAGTTAAGAGAGATCTTGAGAGTGTATTTAAGAGCTGTGGCTATGTGAGCTCTTCCTGAAGTAGAAGAAATATAGCTAGAAAATAGACAAGGAAAATCATAATTTGAAAACTGTACTTTATGAAGAATACAAGTGAGAACACATAGTTATTCAAGGTATCTGTATCTGTGTAATACTCCATATCTCTACTCCCCAAGCTTGTGTTTTTGTTTGTTTTGCTTTTAAACTTTCAAGTCCATCTTGTCACTAGGATGCTAATTCCTGACACAGTTCCTCATTTCTGTGTCCTTTGTGTCTTGGATGAAAATATTCATGTAAGACATTTAATTGGCCATGAAATTTGGCAGAATTTACTATAAGAAGATATAATTACACCTTCAAATAAGAAGGGTCATGTAGGCATTTACTCTAAGTGCAAATTTTGATTTTTTTTTTTAGTACTTAAGATTGACCCAAAGACGTTTATACTGAACTACATCCCCAGCCACATGCTTTGTCCATCTATCTTTTTTTTTTTTTTTTTTTTTTCAACAAGGTCTTCTTATGTAGCCCAGAATTCTCCTGCTTCAAGCCTCATAGGTGTTGGTACTGCAGATGGTGCATCACCACGCCCAATTTATTTTTGAGATAGGGTCTTCCTAAAGGGTCAGTTCGGGTCTGAGACCAAATAGATTATAAACTGGGTTCAAATTTGAAATCTTACTGTTTCAATTTTCCCTAGTGTTGGAATTATAGGCATGTGCCATTACATCCTGCTCCAATGTCTTTTACATGCAGGAAAATCATTCCTGAGGTTCAGGGAACTAGGATGATTAGCATTGTTTTAGACTACATGATGTATATGCTTGTCAACATTTTTCTTAGAAGTTACATTGGAAAGTTGGTATCTTGAAAATGTCTTCCTTGTTCTTTCCAGATGGTTAATGGTCCCCCAAGGGCCTTAATCATTTAAGAAACTTAGAACTTTATGAAACAAAAAGTTCTAATCAAAATGAGATCTGCACAGTTCTTTAAAGAAGGCACTCCTTTCCCATGTCTTTGGGCTGTTTTTGAGACAAAACAGAAATGCTGTAGTACTTGTTTTAGACATAACCTGGAATCAGGACCAATGTGTATCATACATAACTTTAAATTGTTATAATGCTATGTGGGGTCATTTTGGGTCTGAGACCAAATAGATGATTATAAGTGGGCTGTACTCTGATGTATTTCTCCATTTAACCATAATTGGCAAAGCATACTACTGTACTGTATTTTGGACCATTTGTGGCCCTCAGGCTTACTAATGTCTGCCCATCTGCATAACAAGCACTCCCCAAACCTTTAAAGATACTTCAGATCCATAAATTAACCTAGTTCAAAAATAAGGTAAAGGGCAACAACTTGATCTGAAGATGAAGGAACAGGTTCAAAGAGTTAAAGAATGTTTTTGGTAAAACATCTTAAGATCAGCTACCTTGAAGGACAGTTCTAAGACTGCTATGTGTCCCCAATCCTAGACCACATTGCTGCTTTCTCCCTTGAGAGCCTGAATTCTATTTTCTCTTAAGTGCCTACTTACTTAATAAATAAGTCACTAATAAAACCATTCTGTGTCTTTCACTGACGTTTTGGAATTCTGTGAAAAAGAATCAAGAACCTACTCCGCTGGCTAATAGGAGTTTCTCATTAGCCAACGGAGTAGGGCTACAGACTCCCATTCCCAGGCCTCTGACCATGAAAGCCTGGGTTGAGTATCCACACCGGGAAAGCCTTAAGTAGTAACCAGGTCTTTAGACTAAACACTGAGGTAGTGACCTTAGTGGCTGCAAAGGCCTTCGGGAAATGTAGTCCAGTGGGCCAAAATAGCAGAGGCTCAGGAGGTGGGTCGTGCAAAAGCTCTTTTCAGCTCGCCTGATCCCAAAGCAAAATGCTCCACCCCACCCCGGAACAAAAGACTCAGAAATTTCACGGGACTGTAGCCATTGTTCTGTAAGAAGTTACTCTTGAGTTCGAATTGCTAATCATACTTACCTTCCGAGACAGTTTCTGTTCAGAAAAGCACGCGTGTTTTTGAGGGTCTCGCGAGAATTGACTAGAGTGCAGTGCATTCTGGGAAATGTAGTGTCCTGTGAGTAGAGAAAAATGGCTGAACTGGGTGGAAGGATGTTGTTCGGGATCTTATAACCGCCCTGCCAGACGTAATGAATACTTGGCCGGATAGTTATCCGGTTATCAATTGTCCTCGAAGGACGCTTGTGCGACCGGGTGCAATGTGTGCTTTTGCGTAGGGGTGAGTCTATTCGTTCTAAGCAGTTGGAGTCGGGAGGTAAGGCCCGTCCTTGGATGCCAGGCTGCCTGCTGTAGGGGACGCATCCGGATCCTGCCTGGGAGGGGGGTGGAAATCCACACAGACACCCGCTGAAGACTCTGCAGCTGGGCGGGTTGGCAGAAGGAGTGAATGGCTGCTGGCAGGATGAGACTGTGAGAGCGAGAGCGTGCGCGCATGAGGCCGTCAGAATGTGGGTGACATTCATGATTTCGGATCCCCCCATTGCACTGTGAAGTAAGGAAAAGTAATAGTAATTGTTTGACACCCATTTACTCAAATATATGAAAAAGAAAAAGCTAAATAATAAATGTGATAGCAGTATAAAACAAGGTTTTTGTTTATTAGATAAATTTATTACATAAAATTTCCATTACGACTTTAAAATACAGGCAGAAAAATATGTGAAAGCCATTTTTAAAATTCTGTTGACTACACGTGTGGGCCTACTTCTGGACTCTGCATTTCATCCTGATGATCTGTTAATGTGTCTGAAAAATCAATACCATACTGTCTTGATCGATATCGCTTCAACTTAGAAATCAAGAAATGTAAATTTTCCAACTTTGTTCATTTTCATGGTCTCGCTATGCAGTTCAGGCTGGCCTTGAGCTCACTTTGTAGCCCAGGTTGGTCTCGAATTTGCAGGATCCTCCTGCCTCAGCCTACCAAGTGCTGCGATTACAGGCATGTGCCACCATGCCTACCTTAAAATTGTTTGGAGTGTTCTAAATCTTTCACATTTCGATATGAATTTTAGCAGCACCATAATGTAATTTTTGCATCAATGAATGCTAGGTAGTGGGACTTTATTATCAATTTGGTCAAAATTGACTTTTAACCACTCCTCAGCTTGATTCGAAGAAATGAGGTACATCTCCAGCACCTCTTCTGTATAATTTAATTTAATATTTGAGACAGTCAGACACAAAGTTCCTCTGGATATGCTCAAACTTTGATTTTCCTGCCCCAGCCTCCCATAGTGCTGGAATTAAAGATGTGCACTAGTAAACCCAGCCAAAAATTGACTTAACAACATTGTGTCTTCTAAATCATAAATATGAAGTATGTATCTCTGTTATGTATTTAGTATCAGAATTAATCTTATGCCTTTTTGGTCAGATCTGTACCCCGAGAATCTCATATATGATGCTATATTGTAAATGGTTTTTATGTTTTTAGTTTAATTTCCAAGTATTGCTATTGTAAGGAATACAGTTGTTTTAACCAAAAATACAGTTGACTGTCAAATTCACTTATTAGATCTAGTAACTTTTTTGTGTATTCATTAAGATTTTCTCCACAAACGTTTTTGTTATCTGGGTAAAGAGACAATTAAATTTCTTTTTTGGTTTTATTTGTTTATATTTTTATTCTTGTCTTATTGCATTAGTTACTATCTACAGTGTGTTCTGAATAGAAATGACAAAAATTGACATCCACCCAGGCATAGTGGCACACACCTGTAATTCCAGCATTTGGGAGGCAAGAGGATCACTGTAAGTTTGAGAGCAGCTTGAATTGCATAGTGAAACCCTGTGTGGAAAAGACCAAAAAAAAAAAGTTAGAGAAAAAAGCATTCAGTCACATACCACTAAGAACAATGGTACCTACAAGTTTTTTCGTAGTTGTTCATTATCAGATTATGGAAATCCCATTGCACTTCTCATGTCATCGTTCACAGCTTTGATGGAAATGTGTGCTAGACTTTTTCCAAATGTTTTTTGTATATCTTTCAGATGGTCGTTTGTTTTTTAATTAATACACTGAAAATGTTCTGTTAACAAGAATTTTATTTATTTATTTATTTATTTATTTATTGGCTTTTTGAAACAGGGTCTTACTGTGCAGTTCAGGTTGGCCCTGAACTCATTTTGTAGCCTAGACTGGTTTTGAACTCACAACAGTCCTCCTGCTTCAACCTCCCAAGTGCAAGGGATTACAGGCATGCTCCAGCTCATCTGGCTAATGATTTTTAAATATATACCAAATTTACATTTCTTTGACCACGGGAATTCTTTTTTTTTTTTTTTTTTTAATAATTTTTACTTTTCATGTGTTGTCAGACATAATTTAAAAATTTTCTTTAGTTTTGAAACTGTCTTCATAAAGGACAAATACTTGCAATGGCTTACTGATTTTGGTATCAGGATAATGCTGACTCATTGAATGACTTGTGAAGTATTGTCATTTTGGAAGAGTTTGTTTCAGAATTGGGATTATTTCTTTTAATATTTGGTAAAATATGTCAACAAAGCCACCTGGGCCTGGAGTTTTATTAATTGGAAGTGTTTAAGCTCTGAATTAAATTTAATAGATACAGGGCTACTCACATGAGCCTGTTCTTAAGAATGCTTTGATAATTTGTATTTTTGTAGAAATTTTTCAATTTTACACAATTTTTAAAATGTAGGGCTGGATATGTAGCTTAGTGGTAGACTGTCTAGCATCCAGGAGGCCTTGAGGTCAGTCCCCAGGACCATGAAAGAGAGAGAGAAAGAAAGAAAGAAAGAGAGAGAGAGAGAGAGAGAAAGAAAGAGAGAGAAAGAGAGAAAGAAAAAGTAAATTGGTATAAATATGTTCTAAATACTTCCTTTTCTCCTTTCAAAATCTGTAGAGTTAACAGCAGTATTAATTTTCTTATATTTGATGGTAATTTGTATCTTTCTGTTTTTCTATCTGATAGAAACTTATCAATTTCATTGAGTTTTAAAAAAACAGATTTTGGATATTTTTCTTTAAAATTTTTTTGCATTTCATTGATTTCAGCTTGGATTTCTATTTTTCCTTTCTTCTGATTGTACTTAATTTATTTCTTCTTTTTTTCCCCTAAGTGTTTAGGGGGAAAGCTAAGACCATCAATTTTAGTATTCTCCTTTGTAATGTAAGCATTTATTTTGTTTTGGGTTTTTTTTTGTCTTTTTCCTTTTTTTTTTTTTTTTTTTTTTTTTTGTCTTTTTCAGTACCAGGGATCGAACTCACAACTGCCTGCTTGCAAGGCAGGTGCTTATGCCACTGAGCTAAATCCCCAGCCCCGTATTGTAAGCATTTAGAGTTTATTTATTTAGTTTTAAGACAGGGTCTTCATATGTAGTTCAGGCTGGCCTTGACTTCACTGTGTAGCCTAGGTTGACCTTCAATTTGTGGCCATTTACTTGCCTTAGGCTTTAGAGTGCTGGGATTATAGGTCTGCCATCACACCTGGCCTGTATAAACTTTGAACCGCATTTTCCTATGAGTATTGCTTTAGCTGCTGATTTTGAAGTGCTGTTTATATCTTCTCAAATCAAAATATTCACAGAACTGCTTTAGAATAATTTTTAACTTGTGGCCCAATTAGAAATATCTTATTTAGTTTCCAAACATATAGAAGTTGGTTTAGTTATCTCTATATTATTGATTTCTAATTTAATTGCTTTGTGACCAGAGAATATGCTTAGTATGTCTTATAGTTGCTTTACATTCACTGAAACTTGGTAGTATGCAGAATATTGTCTACTTAGATAACTATTCTAGAAGGATATTATATTCTAATAGTATTCTTAGATATGCTATTCTATATACCCTTCTTGGGTAGAGTGACCTGTAAATGTCAATTAGGATAGGTTGATTGATAGTGATGTTCAAGTGTTTGGTGTTTTTATTGTCTGTTCTTCATCTGTTAATTATTGGGATAAACATGCTGAAATCTCTGGATTTGTTCTTGTCATGTAGCAGTCTTTGTTTCACAAATTTTGAAGACAACCACTTTTTTTTTTTTTGAGGCATGGTCTTACCATGCAGTCCAGGCTGGTTTCAAACTCATAGCAATGTTTTTGAGTACTGAGATTACAGGCATCTGCCACCAAGTCTGGCCCTTTGAAACAATCTTTTGATTACTGGTAGCGTGTTAGGTTTTTTCCTGCACTTTTACTTTTATCTTACTCTATCTTTCTGTGGATAACACAGCTTTTAAAAATACAATCTGGCCTGGGGTTTAACTTTAACACAGTGACATAAGTGCCTGCTTGGCAAACGTGAGGTCATGAGTTCAATCCCCGGCACCAAAAAAAAAAAAAAAAAAAAAAATCTGACAATGTTTGTGTTTTTTTGGTGTGTTAATTTCCAATAACTGCAGTTAAAAACACTGCCATAAGTAGGTGTCTTAATGGCACTTTATTCTTTCTAGATTATAAAAAAAGTTCTACTTCACTAGGCCAAACCAAGGCATCAGTAGGATTGTAATGCCTCTGGAGATGCAAAGAATCCACTGCATGCCATTTCCCCAACTTCTCACAACTCCTGATTCACTGGCCTTTGGCTGTGTGTCTCATTCCATTCATTTATTTATGGTATACGGGACTAAACTGAGGTTCTTCACAGTATGCTTATCCTGATCCCCATTCTCCTACCCTCTTTTTTTGTTTAATTTTGAGACAGGGACTCTGAGTTATCTAAGTTGCTCAGACTGGGTTCTAAGTTGATGGTCTTCTTACCTCAGCCTCACAAAGTGCTGGGTTTATAGATGTGTCAGATTGGCTTATGTCACTCCAATCTCTTTGCTTTGTTTTATTTTTGTCACTCTAATCTTAAAGCCTGTATCTTCAGTATTTCACTCTTTTTTAAAAAAAAAATTAGTACTTTTGCATTACATGCTTGCATTCATTGTGAGTTACTACATGTACATAATGTATTTTAATTCTTTTTTCATCCCCTTCCCTTCCTCTCCCACTCCCTTCCCTTCGTCTAGTGGTTCCTTCCCATTTTGCAAAAGCTCCTAGTTTATTATCTGTCTTTTATTTTGCTCTTTGGGTTTCTCATATGAAAGAAACCATGCAATATTTAAGATTGTGGGTTGATTTATTTCACTTAACATGGTCTCAAAGCACATCTGTTTTCCTACAAATGACAAGTTTTTTCTCCTTTTCAGCAGTACTTCCTTCTGTATAAACACCACATTTTCATTATTCACTCACCTGTTGCTGAATGTTTAGGCTGCTTCCAAGGTTTAGGTATTATGAGTTGTTCTGCTATAAACATGGGTATGCATATATCACTATAATACTCTTTTGGAAAGATACCAAGAAGGGAAATAGCTAGGTCAAATGGAATTTCTGCTTTTAGTTTTGTGAGAAATATTGATTTCCATAGTGATTGTTTTAGTTTACATTCCCATCAACAATAGATTTTTTTTCTTCAACAGCCTTGCTAACATTTGTAATTATTTGATTTTTTAATCATTTTTTATTTTAAAGAGAATAAAACCTAACAAAATAAAACAATAAAGCCAATCAAAACAGAACAGTGAAAGTGGTACAGAACTTCAAAACTGGATAATAGGAAATCAATAATGGCTGTGATAATATAGTAGTAGTAACAATAGTTGTCCACACCATCAGACATAGTAAAATCACTTAAGATGAAACAGAATAAAACCACTCAAAACAGAACATTAAATAAAACAATAAATCAGAACAAAGCTAAAAAGTGAGAACACTACTGGATTGCAAAAACAAGACAGAAGGAAATCCACCATATTTGCTATACTGCATACCATTATTCACTTAATAGATGCTTAGACTATTGGCCTTAGGCCTCCAAAGTCAATCAGACAATACAAGCATTTAGTTATTTTTGTATATCAGTTGCTAGCAGCTCATCTTGTCCTCCAGACCACCCAGTTGCTTACTGGGGTTGGGAGTGGGGCTTCTTGATTTCAGCCCCTGCTCCAGTTAGTTCATGGGAATGGCAAACTGGCTTCTCTCTTCCTGGGTATTATTTATTTCTTGATAATAGCCATTCTCTCTGGAGTAAGATAGAATCTCAGTGGTGTTTTTAAATTTATATTTCTCTAATGGTCAGAAATATTAAATTTTTTCATTTGTTTATTTTTGAGTCTTGCTTTGTAGCTGTAGTTCAGGCTAGCCTTGAACTCATTATATAGCCCTGGCTGACCTCAAAGTTAGGTAGGTGATCCTCCTGCCTCGGGCTCCTTAGTGCTGAGATTACAGACATGGGCCACTATACTTGGCTTATTTCATGTGTTTATTAATACCAACATCTTCAACTATCTCTCTGCTTGGTCTTCATATGGCCTCCTCCTCTAAATGTCTGTATCTTCTATGTTTTTCTTGCTCCCAGCAAAATGTCATCTTGTTAAGATCCTTAACCATATCAATAATTTGTGTTGCCATATAAGGCAAAATTTACAAATTCCAAGGATTAGGATGTTGTATTTTGGGGGGACTTTATTTAGTTTACTGCAATGGACATGTTTAGATCATTAGCCAGTGAAATTATTTATGTAGTTAGGTTTAAATATATTTTTGTATGTACATGTGTCATCTATCCCTTCTTTTCTTTCCTCCCTGTTTCTGATAAACTCATTTTAATTAAATCAGTATGTTTTATTGATTTTATTTGTTTTCTCTGTGGGATTTGTTTTTGTCACAGTTATTCAGTTCTGATACAGCTCAAAGTATAAATGGATTAGCATAATTGTGTTATAGTATAACTATAAGTTATAGAACTTGAGTTTCCTATAAATTTCATGTGTCATAAAATACTATTCTTCTTTTGACCTTTTCTCTCAGTATGAAATGGTTTTCAAAATGTAAACAAAACAATCTTGTGAACCATGTAAAATAAATACCAGACCATGTTTGGTTCATGACATATACATAGTTTGTTGACCTTGCCCTAGAGTAACTAACTAAGTGAAGAAATGACTTTAAAATACTGTTGATAGAAAATAAATATCTGATAAATTGTGAGAGGAACTAAAGTGGCACACTAAAGAAACCAAGACAAAAATGCTGTCACAGATACAGAAGAAGAACAAAAAGAGACATAGAAAATAAGGGCTGGGGATATAGCTCAGTAGCACAGTCCCTGCCTGGCAAGTGCAAGATCCTGAGTTCAATTCCTGGTAACCACCCTTAAAAAGAGAAAGAAAATAAATAACATAATATCAAGTGCAAATCCACTCATCAATAATTTACTGCATGTATATGGTCTAGATATCCCACTTAAAAAGCAGAGACTGTCAGATTAGATTTTAAAAAGTAATTTCCAATTACATACTTTAGATTCAAAGTGCAAGGTCATGAGTTTTATCCCTGGTACCAAGAAAAAAAAAAAAGTCAAATAAATGGGGGAAGTAGACAAAACTTGAAGAATAATTCAAAGTAATTTCTGTAGATTCTCTTCTCTTCAGGTATGTCTTAGTTACTATTCTCATTGCTGAGAAAAAATACATAACACCCACAAGTTAAGGGAGGAAAGATTTATTTAGCTCACATTTTGTGGAGGTTTCAGTCCATAATCAGCTGACTACAAGGCAGAGGGGCAATAGTTCATGGTGGCTAAAGCAACAAGGGAGGTAAGAGGCAAGCCTTTTTCTATCCCTCATATTGTATGCAGGTTACCTGTCCTAGGGCATGTGTAGTACTCTTTTAATGCCAACATTGAACTTTGAATTAATCACAAACCCTAGATTCAGCAACCTCTAAAAAGCCTGCCCTCCATGACTGCATGAGGCTTTGGAGGCACGTCTAGACAAAGTGCAAGGTATATGACTTCCTTCTAATGAGTACTGGAAAAGAAGTAAAGTCACAGTGTGAAAAACTGATAAATACTGCTTCAACTAACTAATCAAGATGATTATCAGCATCCATAAATGATGTGAATAACACATGCCTTTGCTATATGGTGAGAAAGGCACCTACTTCTGTGGTCTTTGACTCAAGACTTGTAACCTATGCCTGAACCTGAGAATAACACCAAGTAAATCTGAGGAAAGACAGTCTATAAGATACCTAACCAGAACTTTTCCAAATAGTGAAAGCCAAAGTATAGGGGAGCGTAGGAGACAGTTGACTGCTTAATAAAATATGTTATCTTGGTGATATCCTGTAACAGAAAAAGGACATTAGCTTAAAATCTAAGGAAATTTAAGCTAGGTGTGATGCACACCTGTAATCCTAGCACTTGAGATGCTGAGGCAGGAAGATCACAAGTTGAGGTTCTGTCTGAGCAACTTAGTGAGACCCTTTTTTTTTTTTTTTTTTGTCTTTTTCCTTTTCACTGGTACCAGGGATCGAACTCATGACTGCCTGCTTGCAAGGCAGGTGCTCATGCCGCTGAGCTAAATCCCCAGCCCCCAGTGAGACCCTTTTTAATTCTCAGAATTAAAAAATAAAATGCAGCTCAGTGTGAAGGCCCTCAGTTTAATAACTAGTACCCTCCCATACAGAAACCCCTAGGGAAATCTGAAAGTATAGAATTAATAAAAATGTATCAGTATTGATTCATTAATTGACTTGTAATAAATATTTCATCATTATTTCACAATAATAAACTGGGTGTGGGATATACTAGAACCCTTTTGGGTGATGAGCAGAGTTCTTTTAGATTAGGCATGCACAATTACTATCTCTAAAGGAACAGAGGGTATTAAGTGAGGTATGGTTTTATGGGATGAAGTAGGAGAATAGATTAGTATGGGGTGGGATATAAGATAGGGGAGGTTCCACAAGGTAAAAATAGCAGGTAATAGTGATGAACCATAAGCCACACTCTGGTTTTGTGCTAGAATTTTGGTTTTTGTAGTGTTGAGGATGGAACCCAAGGCTTTGTCTATGCAAGGTAAGTGCTCTACCACTTGGGTAGAATTTTAGAGCTGGAGGAGACCCTGTGTGAAGGTGAGACACCTGAGAAAGAGTCACTAGAACAAGAATTCCCTAGTGTTGGCTCTCTTGGGGCCTCTGTGGCGAAATTACCATGGAAAATGTAGGTTTCTTGACTTTTATACAGGGGCAGATGCCATGGGTAGCAGGTCTAGTTAATGTTGAGACAGAACTAATGTCTTCTAATTCTATTTTTTCTTTTCTAATTCTGTTTTTCCAGGAGCAACCTGTGGAGCAGGGAAGCATGGCTATTGTGGATCATAAAACCATGTTCAAGGTAAGGTGAAATTTCTTACTTCTATTAACTGCTTTCTTACTTGTTTTTCCTGAAATGTGCTTTCCACTTTATAACAGTAACCAGCTCAGTGACCCAGAAGGGAACTAGGACAGATGTAGCATTTTGCTGATTCCTAAGATGTCCTCAGCCATCTTTACTATTGCTTTGATGTAAAGTACAATAGTACCTCAGTTCACAAACTTAATTCATTCCACAATTTTGGGGAAGATATCCACGTTCATGTTTGTGTGGGAAAGATGGCCACAATGGTGTTTGTCACTTAATGTGGAGTTTTTAAACAGAAACAAATTTTTGCCAAACACTTCTGTTTGCAAATATAATTGTTCTCAAACAGAAGCATTCACAAACCAAGGTATCACTGTACTTGGTTTTTAATGCTAATCTTTTTAGCATCTAAACTCTCCAAGCCACCAAGTTTTTAGTTTCTTCTTTTTTGGCCAAGTTGCATCTCATTTAGCTCTGGTTTTTGCTGCTGATTCTTACTGGGTCTTGACCTAGATCCCCAGTCTTCCAAATGAGTGTACGGCAGAGGTTTAAATAATATAAGACAAGTGGTATGATTTTAAAAGGGCTCCAGAAGGGTCAGAACCCTTTAGCTGAGCTCAAGACTCTGAGGGCTAAGACAGAGACTTATCTGGACTGCCCACTTTTAATAGGTCCAACCACGAGGGGCGGGGAAACTGAGGAAAGCGCAGGCAATGAGCAGGACCTTGGGAGACACTTCAAGGACATCTCCAAGTAATAAATAAAGTCAGTTCAGTAGCACTGTCTTATCCTGAAGACGTGGTAGAAGTGAGACTGTAGGGATAATTTCTGCAGCTGCAGTTTGTATCTACTTAATTGATGTTTGAGCCAGGTGTCCACAGCTGTGGCCTCATCTTGCCCTCTGAGGTATCTCTGGCCTCACAGGCCACTGCAGGCCTCAGCCAGGACCAGTGATTCATAGAGGTTCACTTACTATGAATCAGCTCCTGTCACCAGGCAAGGGGCCGAGGCCTAGGGCAGACTCATAGATAAACATAGAAAGCCAATTAGTTAATTTTAAATCCTGCTCAGAGCTGCTGGGTAGTTTCTCTGACATATTCTTCCTATGGTTCTTGCTGAAAGCAGCAAGTGGTTATACCCATGCTATAACCTGAATGCTGCACTGCCTTAAAATTTCCTCTGCCAGACTAAGTCTGCCATGTTTAACTACTTAACTGTTTACCTTAAGTCGTATTACTATCCTGAGGGTCTCTAGGGCAGGTATTATTTTGACCAATTGATTCTGGTATTGAATAAATTTGATAAAATTGTCATTCTTATGTTTCCTGTTGTGTTATAATGATTAATTAAAAATAAGCAATTTTTAGTCATCCTGTATTTAAATAATGTGGTAAGTCTCAGGACAGGAACATGATGCAGACAAATTCTGCCAGAGTGTACCACATAGTTTTGAGTACAAATCCCAGTGGAGTCTTTGTTCCCAACTGAAACCCCCTGAGTCTGATTGTTGCTGTCAACATTTTTATTAGATTTCTGGTCTCCTGAGTTCCACTCAGTTTTTTTCAAGTTTGGCTTACAGCAGTCTTAGATCCTCTGTATTTGGTATCTCCAAATCTTTCCAAACTCTTCCCATAAATGATTCCAAAGGCTTTTTTTTTAAGGTTTTAATGTATGATATTCTTTATTTACAACTTTATTGGCAAAAAAGAATAGGGAAAACACAGGGCACTGTACTTGATCTCCTTGGGTCCATGTTCCATTTTAAATGTCCATCAAATTGTTCAAAGATGTACAATACTGAATCTGCATGTGCAGTTTTCTTTATAAAGTACAGTGCTCACAGTGAAACCCAAGATGTGTAATAGTCATCGTACGGAAGAACGGAGGGGAGAGTTCTTTGGGGGCTATAACTGCATGTATGTTTGGATGTGTAGGATGGATAACCATATTGCTGAGTTTTGTTGGATCATTGAACAAAACTGTTTGCAGTCTCACTGTTTGAAGGTCCCCTCTGTATGCTTTAATTTTGTAACTTCAACAACTATTTCTAAGATGACAATATGTAATTAACTAGTGATTTCCTACTGTTTATTTTTTCTGAAATTCTGTATAACTTGTACCCTTTTTCTGTTTTTTTTTTTTTCTTTTTTCTCCTTAAATAAAATTTTAAAAAAAAAGTACAGTGCTCACATTCTAGGCAATGTTTAAAACATATAAATACAAAGGAAAGGAAATCACTCTTCGAAATCTGCATCAAATTTCCACTTAAACTGTAAATATATGTTGTTATACATAGGCTTAAATTTTGTTGTACATAGGCTTAAATTTATGTTGTACATACACTTAAAGTGTAAATTTATGTTGTTGATATTAACACATGCCCAGTGGAAACCAAAAGCTGGAAAAGCAGTTACACTTTCTACTTGAATGGTCAGTTACAGCAATCATTTTCTACAATGACCTTTATATTTCAATTTATCATGAACTACTATGAACTTACTATGACCTTACTGTGACATGTAGCCAAAGTCAGAAGAGAAGACTCAGGAAGAATATTCCTTTTTTGGAGGAGAGCAAACCTTTGAGAATCAGCATAGGAAATGAATATCCTGTTGATTCTAGGTGAAAAAAAAAATGAATATAATCAATTTCTACTCATGCTGAGCTGACTTAATCTTTTCCTTGATTTGTTTGCTGTCATTCGTCTAAATCAGGTGTATTTAATTCTTTGTCTGATTCATCCAAATCTGGTTAAAAAGGTTTTCATCAATAGGAACAGCTTTGATGGCTCTATTTTTCAGTCCATCTACTTTACTGTCCTCTTCCTACTGCATTCTCCATTTTCAGTCCGACCTTCAGAAGCTTTGCTTAGTTTGTTTTCGTCTTTATCTGAAGCATATGTGCTGAATCTTTCGAGAAGAGCTACAGTAATGCCTGTCTCCTCTGCGTCTCTTCGGATGTACAGGCTTAAGAGTATGCCATGGAATGCTTATGCAATCATCATGTGCTTATGAAATCATCAATCTTGTCACCACCTGTTCCCTGAGTGTAGCACATATCATCGGCTTCCTCTTCATCATCATTGACCAGTTCAGGTCGGAATTCAAATATTTCTCCACCACTGATCACCAGTGCCTTTCTTGCTTTGAAGTCAGATTTCCTTCTTTCTATATCTTGTTCAAGGTTATCAATTTTTTCTTGTCTTTTGCTTTTCTTCCACACAAAAGATTCTACAGTGATTTTGATAACATTTGGACCTAGAGCAGAAGGCTGTTTTTCAATGAGATCTTTTTTTTTAAATTTTTGTTATGTTTATTTGCCATAATTTTTTTACAGAATCTGAAAATGATTTTATAAGTTCATGTAAATTGCACACCAGAATAGTGGATTACATTTTGGTGTACTGCAACTTGCATATAATATACATTGATTTTTTTTTTTTTTTTTTTTTTTTGGAGGTGCTAGCTTGGCTTCCCAGAGTCCTAAGTTCAGCATATGGCGTGGATCTCAGGAGACACTGCTAGTTCTCCCCCTGAAAGGGCTGCAGTCTGCCACCCTACCGCTGCTTACCAGGGAGGGGAGGTGCTGCCTTGGCTTCCCAGAGTCCTAAGTTCCAACATGGCGTGGATCTCAGGAGACACTGCTAGTTCTCCCCCTGGAAGGGCTGCAGTCTGCCACCCTACCGCTGCTTACCAGGGAGGGGAGGTGCTGCCTTGGCTTCCCAGAGTCCTAAGTTCCAGCATGGTGTGGATCTCAGGAGACACTGCTAGTTCTCCCCCTGGAAGGGCTGCAGTGGGCCACACTACCGCCGCTTACCAGGGAGGGGAGGTGCTGCCTTGGCTTCCCAGAGTCCTAAGTTCCAACATCTCAATGAGATCTTCTAATGAAATTTCATCTTCTTTCACTTCACTCCTTTGAACTTTTTTCAACACAAATCCAGGAGGAAGTGAATGTGGATACATACAGTTATTAACCCCCTCCAGGGCACACCCAAAACCAGCCATACTTGTAATTTTCAGTAATTTCAAGGAAATGCTTGTAGACTATTTGAGATTTTTTTTCTTTTCCGCCTCACTGTGCGTCTTGTTCACTACTTATTCAAGCTTTTTCTCATCCCAGTTATCCATTGTATCATCTTCAAGTCCTTTATCTCTTTCATCAATGTAACCACTGCATTTTTCACATTTTCTCTCCAAAGTCAGGTCATGAGGAAACTTGCAGTTATCACTTTTAGTGCACTGCCTCTGCTTGAAGAAGGCACACACCATGGACTTGGGATCTGCACCTTTACTTATTTTTTGAGCAGCAATGACAGTTTTGAAGAGCTCATTTAGCTCCTGCAATTCTTTCTTCTTGTCATCTTACTTCAGTTTCTTTGCATCTTCATTTTGTGCTACTTTTGGATTTTGTTGACCGAATTTAACTTGATGAATGACAGCCTTGATAAACTTCTGTTGCTTTGCCTCTTTCTTATTTAGAACAGAAGTGTTGTTCTCAGTAATCTTCTCCTTCTTTTTCTGCTCCACCTTTTGGTTGCCCCTGGCCTGAGCCTGTTTCTTGGGGGATACTGTGGAAAGGCACTGGCCGGACCTGAGGACAGATGGATGCTGTGGGGAAATTTGGCACTTCAACAGGAGGAGGAAGACGAGACCACTGTTGGCGCTGCGGCACACTGAAAGCAAATCCCCAAAGGCTTTTGAACCACATGATCAGACATAGTTGTGGCTGTGGCCCCACTTTTGCTACCAAAATCTGAGTTACTTTCCTTATTGCTGGGACAAAATATTGGACATCTGCAGTAAAGGAAGAGAAGTTTATTTTGATTCATGATTACAGTTTGTGGCCATTGATTATCTTTAAGGCAGAAATGGCATGGTATAGGAAGGAAAGCTGCTTATATGATGGTGACCAGGAACCAGAAAAAAAAGGGAGGAACTGGGGACAGAAATATACCCTTCCGGGTCACATTCTCAGCGACTTCTTCCTACCAGAACCCATTCTTAAAACCAAATCAGTTGTAGTGTCATCATAATCCAGGTACTTGCCAAACACATAAGGCTTTAGAGGGACATTTCAGATCAAACCGTAACAGTAACCAAGTCCTGTCTGAGATTTACCAACATGATTTTGTTTTATTTCACAAATTACTTGGATTGTAACAGGAAGTAGTTTTTTTCTTTTCTTTTCTTTTCTTTTTTTTTTTTGTCTTTTTCCTTTTTATCAGTACGGGGGATCGAACTCACGACTGCCTGCTTGCAAGGCAGGCGCTTATGCCACTGAGCTAAACCTCCAGCCCCTGCATCTCGTAGGCCATGTGAGGCTCACCATGTCTGTGTATACTTGAGGAATTTACTTAAATTCTCTCAATTTCCTCTTCTGTAAAACAGAAGGATTAGTGCCATTTATCTGTAGGTTATAATGATCAAACTGAAGCATGTAAGGCCCTTTGAAAATGTTGGCACATAAGTTATATGGAAATCCTTTCCCAGACCTCATCAAAGTCTAGGAAATTTATATTTGTACTCCCATGGAAAGGTTATTGGAATTTTAGCAAGTTAATTCCAGTCTACCACTCCCAGTGTAACTCATGGCAAGAATAAAGACATTAAGGCATATTTATAATTATGGGGAGGGGTCCTAAGTTGGGCCAGGATGAAGGTTCATCAGAACAAAGGCATTGACCCAGGGCCTAACCTAGATTTTATTAATTCATAAAAAAGGGAATGGTTTGAGGATGAGTGACTGGGGAGGTAAAATATGTGAGTACTTAGAGCTGGGCTGGGTAGGAGGCCTGACAGCACTTCTGCAGTATGCAGAGAGAAGGATATGTAGAAATCTGTAAAACACAATTGAGGTAGCATTTAATATTTGGGCGCCAGTGCTTTAGCACTGATGTGCAAACTTCTCTGCTCTGGGAAGTCATATCTTCTTATCTTGAGGCTCGAACCCAGGTGATACCTCTGGAACCATGGCTCTTCATCCTATGGGGCTTAACCATGTTTTGGGGGAGTCACGGGTAGGGAAATAGCAACTTCAAAGATTACAGATAAGCACCTCTGCTAGCCCTGTTTACATTGCTTAGAGCCAGTTGAAGTAAGGAAATGGCCCAACCAGCTCTATATATATCAATACAGGGGCCAGGTTTAACCAAAGTGGAAGCAATTGCTCTTTGTTCAAGGAGAGTAATCCAGGTGGTTCTCCACAAAAATATACTCAATTTATATAAAATATTATGATTATTTTGTGTTGAGTTTTCTATGGATCAGGAAAAATGAAAATATAAAATTGAGGTAGATATTTGAAAATAAGAAAAAGATAGATACTCAAGTCACATAGGAGTTTTAATCTGCATGTCTTTTAATTCATTTAGCTAATTCTTTGGCAAATTTTTTACTATAGAAGGAATATATAATTACTTCCTCTTAGGAGAACTGGAGTCTGTTATGGCATGTTGACTATTTTATTTCAATCGGAAACTTACTTTCTTTTTATGTTCTGCCTTTCAGGTACAAAATTATAAAAAATGTATCTGTGAGCAGCATACTGTGACGTGTTGGATTTACTACAGTTTTATTTTGTCCATTTTGACCAGAGATCTTTTTGTGCATCTGGTCATCTACATTTGTAGTTATTAAGCAAATCAATGTACAATTGCCTAGTAAACAATAGTTCCTTCATGTTCTTTCCCAAATAATATGTTTGGAGGTAGATTATAGCCTGAAAAATAAAAGAATCCAAAGATCCTGATATGTCCCTGGAGTTCAACTCTTATTTTCAGTTGGTTCTATGTATCATCATGTTACACAACAAGAATGCATCCCAGAATGACACTACACAGGTTTTTAGACTTCCATCTGACTGTGCCAGCTTCCAAAATTAGGGATGATCTCAGAAAATATACAACTTCGTCCTTTTAGGCATGTGGGTAATGGTGCTAAGACAATTTAATTCTCTTGCTGTGAGCTTCTCTCAAGGTACCAATGTAATGCTGGATTTCTCTCATGGATAACCCACATCTTTACTTATTCTTTTACTGTCAGCTGCTATACCTCTTTTCTGTTTGAGATTGGTTTTCACCCAGACTTTTCTACCTTTAGAAATTAGGTTCAGCCAAATTGCTAGTATGAAAGTGAGTCTACAAGTGCTGACCTCTCATTCTATACTCATTCATACAAGGAAATGTTAAGTATAGAAATAGGGGCTGTCTCTACCACTAGGCAATATACTTGCATTCCCTCTGTCATCTCATTTTGGCAGATGTCTGCAAAGGCAAGCCATCACCTCAAGACCTTGGGAATTCTGTCATAAAGGTTTAAAGGGTCATCTCTGCCTCTGCCATTTGTGTACGTCTGGTTCTAGGACCAGTGTCTCAGGTGGGAAAAGAAAGGTTGAGATGATCTGGGGAATATTACCCATTTATATCAGCATTTTCCCCCAGAGCCTCTTTCTCTGTCCTCAAAGGAAGAGAATCTATCTAGAAGAGATTCTGCCTTGGCTTTCCTCGGAGCAAGCACATACTTATGACTGCATGTAAGGCAGCCCTTCTGTCAGCAAATGTATGACTCTCTTATACCAAGTCTTCATCAGCCACTACTTTGAGAATGGTAATTGTCATGGTAATGTAACTAGCTCCCTCCTGTGCTGTGATCTGGGTCCTTGTATAGGTGAATGTGACAGAATGCAAGGATGTCCCTGGTTGCAGGTAGGCCTTTAAAATCCTGAAAGCAAACACTTTATCCATGGCTTTTCCCAATTGTTCATGGATCTGTTTTTTGTCCTTTGCAGTTCCACTATACTATGGTAGTCATTTTGCTTAAGTTAATTATTCTGGCCTTTTGGTATGTTAACTAATTTAAACCCTGACTTAGTTTACTTCAGTTAACTCTTCTGGTCCTGTGCTTTATCTACCTAACTTCTATTTTCTGACTTAAGTAAGTCCATGTGATGTGGGCTCTCTTTGCACATTGTTGGACACTGTGAGGTATAAAGCTGTAATTTTTGGTCTGAAAAAGTGTATCATGGTGATCAGCATTGGCACATTTTCTTCATTTGAGTCATTATGTAGTATTTTGAACATTGATATCAATCTCTAAGTAAGCAAAAACCCTGCCCAGGGTAAATATCTATTCCTATCTGTAGCCTGTTACCTGATTGGGATTAAACACAGGACCTTCATACTAAACTACAACTTCAGCCCATTTTTTATTTTTAAATTTTGAGACAAGGTCTTGCTAAACTGCCCAGGGTTGGCTCAAATTAACAGTCCTCCTGACTCCGCCTCCCAGAGTACTGGGATTATTAAGCATGTACCACCATGCTTGGCCATATTCAAGGTTCTTATTAGGTACATGCAGTGCTCATTACTGACCTTAGTTGTTCCATCTCCAGATCCCTGGAAGTCATGCCGATGTACCCTAAGGATTAACACATGTAAAAACACTCTCCTTATTCAAGGCCTCAGATTATTTCCTTAAAGCTGGTGAAAAACCAGTTCTTTCTATGGAATGTTTAGGATGTGAGCTTAAAGTTCCAGGTCTGCTGGGTTAGTCCTTTACTGCACAAAGACCATATTTTCAGCATAATAATGGAGCTGTTCCTTTCTAATTTAGATTGTTTGCTTTACATTGCTTCCCAGTGAGTTTGATTAATAGAAGTTTCCCAAGGTTCTAAGTTTTATCTATTCTACAACATAGGATGTTCAACAATATATGTTTTAGTGCTTTTTAATTTTTCCCTGTTGTGTTATAGAGTTGTAGTTATACCCTGTTACTAACTATAGAATACAATGCCTTCCAGGAAAGCCATTTAAAATATTCTTATCATTCATGTGAAATGTATTTTCCTTACTAATATATATATTACATGGAATTTTCCTATCAGGGACTGGTGATGTTTGAGGACGTGGCTATAGAATTCTCTAAGGAAGAGTGGGAATGGTTGGACTCTTCTCAGAGAAACTTATACAGAGATGTGATGTTGGAGAACTACAACACCTTCATGTCACTGGGTAAGTTTATCTGTTGCCTGTAATTCAAAAAATGCTTTTTCTTTTTGTTAGGAATTTTTGCCTGTATTTGAGGGGGACTATTTTGAGGAGGATTAATAGCAGTGTCTTTTACTGTGATAATTTTTTTAAAATTTTAACATTCATTATAGGTTTTTGTTTGTTTGTTTCTTTTTGGTACCAGGAATCAAACTCATGACCTCACACTTGCCAGGTAGGTGCTGGGCCGCACAGTTATATATCCCCAGCCCAACATTCACGTATTTTTAGGTCATACTTCTAGGAAAATTTCTATTCTTTGTTCCAAAGTTTGAGCTTGTTTTGTTGGTATAGTATGCTACTGTCAGACTTCTTATTTGGTAGTCTTCGATCACCTTCACAGTGGCTCCTGCACTCTATGTAATTGACTTTCCTTCTTGGTTGTTAAGGAATTAGATTATGATGGAGGTTAGGTAGATTAGGGCTGGGGCAAAACCAGACAACCAAATAGGCTGAATGTGTCAGAAAAACCCATGGCTAATGAGTTGAGAAGATGTTGTCTAAAAAGAGAAGGCATGAGCAGAGCATGAGGTCCTAAATGCTTCTAGGCTTATGGCTGCTCCTTAGTATAGTACACAGGGCCAATCAGAAGATACTATTCCTAATCCTTCATTCAAATTCAGTGCTGTTCATAGGACCAATTGGTGCTATTTCTAACTCTTCACTTACATATGAGTATAACCTATCAAAAGGCACTGTTCCCAGTCCTTCTGTTAATCTCGGAGAAGCCAAGTGAATTTTTCCATAGGACAGTTGTCCTATGTGCTGTATTCATGTCCAGTGCTGTATTCATGAAGTGGGGCCCAATCCAGGTATTGTGGATACTAAGGATCCTTAAGTTTTATAATTTTTGTAGAAGTTTTTAATGTAATGTTGAAGGAATTTCAGAGGAAGAATCATTGATTATGTCTTGAACCTTCCTATTTTTCTTTCCAACATAACTAGAGATAGAGTCTATGTGTATTTAATTTCAGATTTTTGCCTCCTTGAGGGTTTAATTGTTCCTTGTGTTAGATTAATAAGGCCATATTCCCATTTTTTTTCTCTTTTTTTTCTTTTTGAGACAGGGTCTAGCTAGGCAATTCCAGCTGGCCATCAGCTCACTTTGTAGCCCAGGCTAGTCTCGAACTTACAACGAGCTTCCTCCGCTTGCCCTAGCTTCCTAAGTTCTGGAATTATAGGCATACACCACCACGGCCGGCTATATTCCCATTTGTTTACTAGCCTCTTATCTAAAAATTTATCTGAATAGCATTTGGGTTTTTTTTTTTTTTAGACAGGTGTCTCATTGTAGCCCAGGCTGGCCTCAGACTCATAGTAGTCCTTCTGCCTCATCCTCCCAAGTGTTGGAATGTACCACCTTGCTTGGTCTTCTGAATCCCATTTTTAAAAAACTTTTTAATTTGAAGTGATATTAAGTATTAAAACTAAACAGTCTGCAGCCAGGTTTTCATAGAGTTAACAATTTACATTAAGCATAGGGTAGTTATCTAAACCAGAAAATGCCCATTGATCAAATTTTCTGCTGTTGTTTATATACTTTATTTAGATGTCAGTCATTACCCTTGTAGTGTACTTGTGCTGATCTAGCATTGTACATTGTAATTAATTGTCATCTTACTATAGGTGTCTAATCTTGGAAATTTATTTTTGTATTCCTGACCTTGACACTTTGAATTGTGCTGACTTCTTTTTTTTTTGTGCTGACTTCTTGTTACATAGAATTTCCTGACTTTTTAAGATATTTTAATGATTAGATTAAGGTTATATGTTTTGGGCAAGATTACCACAGAAATGATGACATACTTTTTTTAGTCCCGTATCTCAAGAGATAACAATTCTATATGTCTTATCACTAGTAATGCTAACTATGATCAGTTTGTTAAAGCGATCTACAGTTCTGCATTGTAAAAGCCATTACTTTTACCTTTGCAGTTTGTAGTTTGTTGTGAAGTATTTTAATATTTTATGAATATATTCTTTCTTATGATACTCTCCCTATTTTAGTTTTTCATCTGTAATTTCTGCATGTAACAGGATTATTAAGTGCTTTTTTTCTTTTTATCTACTTTCTGGACTCCTCAAGTTGTTTTAGGTTAAACTAATTCTAAATCAAATATTTGTTTATTTATATATTGATTTTTAATCTTACTTCTTTGAGCAGGACTTGCCATTTCCAAGCCATCAGTAATTTCCTTATTGGAACAAGGGAAAGAACCTTGGATGGCTGGAAAAGCAGGATGGTATCCAGGTGAGTAAAGGGGTGGGGAGCAATCAGAATGTATTTCAGTGAAGTGCGAACTAGTTAGAATCCTGTTGTCTTTCCTTTGAAATAGTATATGAAAAGCTGTATTCAAAAGCCCAGTCTTAGAAGAAATAGTTGTGAAATGGGGAGGATATCAGTATTTTTTATGATAAATAATTTTTTTTTTCTGATACAGCATTTCCTCTGTATAGTCCAGACTAGTTTTGAATTTGCTGTTGGCATAGTTTGACCTTGAATTTGGGGTCCTCTTCCATCAGCTTGCTAAGTACTGGGATTACAGGCATGTGGGACCATGCTTGTTAAAAAAAATTTTTTTAACAGATATTTTGAAATTCAATTAAGTAGATCTATTAAAGTGTACCATTTGACAATTTTGATGTACATGTGTACTTATGAGGTCATCACCATAATTAAGATCATATTTTGATTATGCTCACTGCTTCTGACATAAGGTAGTCTTTAATATTTTCTTATCATTACTATCATTATTTTGCAGTACTGAAGATTGAATCCAAGCTCTTGGCACTGATTGGTATTCCCAGATCTATCTTAATTTTGAGCCAGATTTTGCTAAGTCACTAAATTGCCCAGGCTGAGCTTGAAATTGTAATCCTGGCCTCTTAAGGTGGTGACATAACAGGCATAGGTAACCGTATCTGGCACTATTTCAGTAGGATATGATATTGCTTAAAAATTTTTAACTAAGACAAAAAAAAAAAATAGGGGTCTGGGGATTTAGCTCAGCGGCATAAGTGCCTGCCTTGCAAGCAGGCAGTCGCGAGTTCGATCCCTGGTACCGATAAAAAAGAAAAAAACAAAAAATAAAAAAAATTTTTTAACTGATCTCATTTAGTTGAGAAACAGAGTCCCCTTGTATTTTTAGGTTGTTAAGAATTTTTATTACTGTGTTGAATTTTATTGAGTATATTTTGCCTTTATGCAAGTAATGAATAATTTTCCTTTTAAAATGCTAATATGTTGGATTGTGATTGATTTTCAAATGTTAACATAACCTATATTCATGGAGTACATTCCACTGGACATGTAGTATTTTTTTATATACATGTAGTATGTTTTTTATATACAACACTAGATTCAGTCAGTGAAAGGGATTTTGCATTAATATTTAAGAGCAAAATTTATAGTTTCCTATTGTATTTTTCTAGTTTTAGTAGTACTATTATGTTGACATCCTACCATAAGTTGGGAGCCATTTCTATATTCAACAGATATTTTTTCCTTATTTGGTAGAATTTACCATTAAAGCCACTTTGCCACTTTTATCTTTGGAATAGTTTTTTTGTTTGTTTTTATATAAATTCAATTTCTGCAATAGATATATAGCTCTTCTGGGGACAGTTTTTTTCTTGAGTGAGCTTGATAGCTTATGTGATTCAAGAAATGTGATCTTTTAAATTATTATATATAAATAAATAATTATACAAGAGGTTGTGTATTAGGTCATAGTGTTTTCTCTCTCTCTTTTTTTTTTAGATGGGGCCTTACTGTGTAGTTTAGGGTCACCTTAAATTCACATGTAACCCAGGCTGGCCTTGAATTTATGCCTGTCTCAGCTTCTTTAAGTGCTGGAATTATGTGCGAGTGCCACAAATGGCTTCATAGTATTTTCTTATTTAATTACTTACTGATAGTTATTAATCATTTTTATTAATTATGTAGGATTTATAATTAGAAATTCTTTTATTCTTGATATTCTTATTTTGTTTGCGTGTATATGTTTGGTTTGGCTAAAATTTGCTGATCTTTTCAGTGAAAAAGCCTTTGCCTTTGTTAAATGTTATTTGTCAATTTTCTAATTTATCCGGGGATTTAACTCAGTGGCTTAAGCACCTGCCTGGCAAGTATGAGGTCATGAGTTTAATCCTTGGTACCAAAAAAAACACAACAGTTTTCTAATTTATTGATTTCTTATAATTTCTTTGCTTCTGCTGTGAGTTTGTTTTGCTCTTTTTTTTCTACAGTTTTTCAGTAGAACCTTAGCTTTTTTTGTTTTTGTTTTTTGCCCTACAAGCATTTGGAAGTATAAATTTCCCTTGATAAGTACTTTATCTACATTGCACATATTTTTATGTGCTATACTATTATTGTTGATTTCATAAAGGTTTAGTTCATTTTCAAATACAGGGAGTGTTTTTTTGTTGTTGTTGTTTTTTTGTCTTTTTCCTTTTTATCAGACCTGGGGATCGAACTCATGACTGCCTGCTTGCAAGGCAGGTGCTTATGCCACTGAGCTAAACCTCCAGCCCCTTTTTTTAGGTTTTTTATAAAAATAATTTCAAGTTTAGTTTCATTGTAGTCAAAGAAAGTATCTGGCATGATTTTGTTACTTTTTATTATATTAAGTTTATATTAAGTCTGCTTACTGGCCCAGCATGTGGTCTGTTTTGAGTTTTGAGTACAGTTGAACAGAATGTATACTCTGCATTTTTTTGATATTGCATTTTGTAAATGGTAACTAGTTATAAATGGTGAATCATTTATGTTTTCTCTATTTCTTACTGCAGAGAATGTCTAGTTATTTTATAAGTTATTGAGAAGTAGTTAGAGAGTCTTCAACTGTGATTGTAGAATTATTTGTATCTTGCTTTATGTCTGTTAAATTTTTACTGCATGTATTTCTTTTTATGTATGTAAACATTTCTAATTTCTCAGTCTTCCAGATGAATTGACTCTTTTATTCTTGTGATAAAATTATTTTTTGTAACATAGGTTATTTTGAGATGTATTTGCTATGAATATAGCCATTCTATTTTACCCAAAGTAAATGACAATATTTGAAAGTTATTTAAGCAATTCACTTTTTTTTTTTTTTTGTCTTTTTGAGACAGGGTCTCGCTGTGCAGTTCAGGCTGACTTGAGCTTACTTTGTAGCCCAGGCTGGTCTTGAACTCACAATGATCCTCCTGCCTCAGCCTCCCGAGTGCTGGGATTATGGGCATGAGCCACCACGCCCAGCCAGCAATTCACTTCTTAACAGTATTATTTTTTTGTTTCTAATGTTGATGTTTCATTTGTCCTGAAACAGGAAAATATATTATTTTCTTTCAGAATTGCTGTCTTTGTATGAAACTAAGGAATTAGCTCTAAAGAATGACATTTTCGAAATGGGATCATTAAAATGGGAAATAATGAACAGAACCATATGTTGTTGCCTTGAGGGGGAGTCTTATTTTGGAACTGATTTGAAATGTAAGGAACATTTTGAAAGAGAAGAGGAATCTAAAGAGGAATGTTCCCAGTATATGACAGTTCCATTTGAAAAACTATCAATTGAATTCATTCAGCCTCCATCACTTGTTCCAAATGAAATAATTCAGCCTCCGTCACTGGTTCCTAATGAAATAACTCAGCCTACATCACTGGTTCCAAATGAAGTAATTCAGCCTACATTGCTGGTTCCAAATGAAATAATTCAAACTGAAAATGAATGCTATGAGCAGAAAAATTATGAAAACCTCACTCAGCAAATAGAAATTCATACTAGTGAAAAACTTGATGAAATGTGTGAGAAGGCCTTCATATTTTACACAAATCAAATGGAACATCAGCAAAGTCTTCCTAGAAAGAATTGTGATGAATTTAAGGAATGTGGCAGAGAATTTGCTTATGACTTTCAACTTCCTCAATATCAAATAAATTATAACAAACCCTATGAATGTCAGATATGTGGAAAGAGTTTTAGAAAGCGTGCCCTCCTTACTCAACATAATCGAATTCACACGGGTGAGAAACCATATGAATGCAAGGAATGTGGGAAAGCTTTTATCTGCTGTTCAACACTCATTCAACACAGGAGGACTCACTCTAATGTGAAACCCTTTGAATGTATGGAATGTGGCAAGAGTTTTAGACGAAGTGCACACCTTACTCGACATCAAAGAATTCATACTGATCAGAAACCCTATAAATGTACACAATGCTGGAAAGCCTTTGCTTCTCTTTCTGACTTTAATAGACACCAGAAGATTCACACTGGTGAAAGACCTTATGAATGTGCAGAATGTGGGAAAGCATTTAATAGTCGTTCAACTCTTACTCAACATCAGAGAATTCACACAGGTGAAAGGCCCTTTGAATGTAAGGAATGTGGCAAGGCATTTAATAATTGTTCAACTCTTACTCAACATCAGAGAACCCATACAAATGAGAAACCCTATGAGTGTCAGGAATGTAAAAAGACCTTCAGACAAAGTGCACATCTAAGTAGACATCAAAAAATTCATAGTGGTGAGAAACCATTTGAATGTGCTATATGTGGAAAGGGCTTCACTTGTGTTTCTGACTTTAACAGACACCAACGAGTTCACACTGGTGAGAAACCCTATGAATGTAAAGAATGTGGGAAAGCCTTTAATAATTGCTCAACTCTTATTCGACACCAAAGAATTCACACTGGTGAGAAACCATATCAATGTGACCAGTGTGGAAAAGCATTTATATCTGGTTCAACATTTTTTCAACATCAAAGAACACATACTAATGAGAAGCCCTATGAATGTCAAGTATGTAAAAAGACTTTCAGACAAAGTGCACATCTAACTAGACATCAGAGAACTCACACTGGTGAGAAGCCCTATGAATGTTATGACTGTGGGAAGACCTTTACTTGTTTTTCTGATTGTAATAGGCATCAGAGAATTCACAGAGGTGAGAAACCCTATGAGTGTCAAGTATGTGGGAAGGTCTTTAATAACTGCTCAACTCTTAATCAACATCAGAGAATTCATACTGGTGTGAAACCCTATGAATGTAAGGAATGTGGAAAGTCTTTTACTTGGCTTTCAAACCTGAATAAACATCAGAAAATTCACACTGGTGAAAAACCCTACGAATGTAAAGATTGTGAGAAGGCTTTTCTCTGTTATTCAACTTTTGTTCAGCACCAGAGAACTCATACTAATGAGAAACCCTATGAATGTCAGGAATGTGGGAAGGCCTTTAGACAGAGAGCACATCTTATTCAACATGAAAGAATTCATACTGGTGAGAAACCATATAAATGCAAGGAATGTGGAAAGGCCTTTTCTTGTGTTTCCTATTTTAGTAGACATCAGAGAATTCACACAGGTGAGAAACCATATGAATGTAAAGAGTGTAAAAAGTCCTTTATTGATTGTTCAACTCTTATTCAACATCAGAGAATTCATACCGGCGAGAAACCCTTTGTATGTCAGGAATGTAATAAAGCCTTTAGGCAGAGGGCACATCTTACTCAACATCAAAGAATTCACACTGGTGAGAAACCCTATGAATGTAAAGAATGTGGAAAGGCCTTTACTTGTCTTTCACAGGCGAAAAAGCACCAGAGAATACACACATGAGGTGAGAATTTCTGTGTATTTGAATATTGTCTTTTATTTGTCATTACTCATTATTGCCAAATACATACAGAAAGTAATACTAGAAATATCAGAAATGTGGGAAACAATTTTTTATACCCCTCTGCTATTTCTTTCCTGATATTTAGGGTTGTTTTTTGACTTAGGGTTTCAGTAAATCACTATAGTTTTCCAAGGGTGGGCTTGAATTATCATGCTTCTTTTTCATGTTCCCAGAGTGCTGGTATTACAGATATGTAGCACCATGCCCAGCTTCCATAGCTATTTATATGAATAGCAGAGTGTATATTGAGGAAAAACCTTATAGAAGTGAGGTATGTGTAAAGACCTGCTTTCACATTATAATCAGTAATGCATGATTATATGTTTCAGATAGCCCTTGTTTTTTGAGCTACATATTCTATAATAATAGCAAACAGTATGTAAGAGATGGAAAAATCAAATGTCTATAAATTTCAGCATCATAAATCAGATCTTATTCAATATCAGAATTTATACATGAAAGACAAAATGAAATATTAATATTCTATTCACTGAATAGTTATATTTGATTATAGCATAACTACAGAGCATAACATGTAGAGAAGAACAATTTAAACTTTCTAAATGTATAAAAGCTTTTGCCTATAGTGTGAATCATTTTCGGCAGTTTTGCTAAGCCAGGAAGATCACAAGTTCAAGCCCTGTCTGGGCAACGTAGCAATTTATTGAGACCTTGTCTCAAAATACAAAATAAAACAGGACTGAAATTGTATCTCAGTATGTCCCTGGCTTCTATTCTCAGTACCATCAAAGGTTTAAAAAATGGATAAGGTAATGTTTACCATGGAAATTTTGATGGAATTCAAGTAAGTTATTATTACTACCATGTTTGTTTTGTCGGTTTTTTCTCCAAGGTTAAATAACCAAAATGTAGGCGATGATAATATCACAAAATGCCTATGATATACTTAATTGTTTTGTGAATATAACTGAAAACTCATCAGCGATCAATCAAAATTTGAAGGCAATCCAGAAAATAAATATAGACTAGGCAAGTTAAAAGAAAATTGCATAGCAGGATAATAGAGATAAACTAAGAGAAATGCCAAAAGTGTTATTCTGCAGTTGAAAGGAAATTTTTTCTTATTTAAATAAAAGACTATGCTGTTTTTTAGCCACATATTATAAAGTAAAGCTTAAAAAAAATTGAAATTCATGGACAATACAAAAAGTATGCTGTTGAAAGGTTAACCAAATAAACCATCCATGAAAAGATTTAAAGGACAAAAAAAATGTATGTACCAACAAAAAAGTAGAAACCCATCTTTATGTTCAGTTTCATTTCATGAGTAGGATCTGATTATGGATAATCTCTATCTATGTAACTAACAACATGACCTCCATGAACACAAATCAAAGTTGATGGAACTACAAATAGAAAAGATAGTTATGCACAGTTGGATTTTATCATACCTCTATCAAGTATGGATGAAAAAACAACTTTTTTTTTCTCTTTTTGAGACTGGGTTTCACTATGCAGTGGGCTTGCACTCACTTTGTAGCCCAGGCTGGACTCAAGCTTGCAGCAATCCTCTTATCTCAGCCTGTTGAGTGTTGGGATTACAGATGTACACCACCATGCCCAGCTAAAAAAGAACTTTTGTGTGAGTACTGTTTTAAAATCTGATATAGTGTGTTGTAAACCCATCACTCTGGGAGTTTCAGGCAGAAGGATTACAAGTTCAAGTCTAGCCTGTTCAATTTGGCAATTTAATGAAACCCTGAGTTTAAAAAAAAAGGGGGGGGGGTATGGGATGTAGCTCAATGCAAAACACATGTGTTCGATTCCCATTAAAATCTGATAATGACTGACCCAAGTTTTTGAACAGTTCTTTTATTAATATAAGAAATTATCCTATTTTAAACTACAAAGCAAGTTGACAGAAATTTCACATTATTCAAATTATACCATGTATCTTTAAATATTACTAAAGTCAGTATATTCAGAATTACACTATAAATCATCCTTCCAAAGAACCACTGATTAAAGAAACATAACAATGCAAATTATTTTCTATTAAAATTTCACCTTTGATAATTTGTGGAATGCAGTAATAGTATCTAATAAAAAATGTTTGTAGGAAACTGAAATCACTAATGAAATTTATTTTATGAGCCAGGTGTGATGGCGCATGCCTGTAATCCTAGTACTCAGGAGGCTGACGTATGAGGATTATAGCAAAGTTTAAAACCAGCCTGGACTACAAAGTGAGCTCAAGGCCAGCCTAAATTCCATAGGGAGACCTTGTCTCAAAAGACCAAAAAAAAATTATTTTAAGATGATAATTTTAAAATATGGAAGGTAATAATAGATTATTAGAAGCAGAATGCAAAAATTTGTATGAAGTTTTAGATTAACTATTGACAGATACTTGAGTAGTATTTTAACTGTTAAGGACTAACAAAATTTTACAAATCCTTCAAAAATGTGATTCCCTTAAGGGCATCTCAATATAAAAAATAAAATGCAAAAAAAAAAAAAGTAAAGAATAGTTTTTCCTGGGTGTCCTGTCTGCAGTGTTATCTTGTAGGCCTATACTGCAGTTGACCAAATCAGTCACTTATTGAGGTATGCAGATGTTTTTATTCTTTGAAGTAACAATGAGATGATGATTTTTGTATATATTATTTAGTATCTATAAACAAATAGATATTAAACCTATGTCCCTGAAGTAGATTTGCTTAGTACATTTGTACATTCTTTAAAAGGTTGCATAGCTTTTCTTTACATTTACTAATTTACATTTCTTTCAACAAAGTTGTAGAGTGTCCCATTTCCCAATAACTTGCCAAAATCATTTTTAACTCTTTTTGTTACTGTGTTTAGTGGAAAAATTACACCTTTAATTTGCATTTTTATACCATTGTGATTCTCATTTTTATGCTACATGTTTTAGTTTTAAATGCTGTTTTTTTCAGTGAAATGTCTTTTAATGTCATTTTCTTTTGGGTGATTAGTAGTTTTCTAATTGATTTGTAAGAATTTTAGGGGCTGGGGATTTAGCTCAGCGGCATAAGTACCTGCCTTGCAAGCAGGCGGTCATGAGTTCGATCCACGGTACCTATAAAAATGAAAAGAAGACAAAAAAAAAATTTTAAAGATGAGGCCAGGGATTTAGCTCAGCGGCGAAAGCATCTGCTTGGCCAAGTGCAAGGTTGTGTGTTCAATCCCCAGTTCAAAAAAAAAACCAAAGAATAAGAAATATCAGCTTTCAAAAAAAAAAGAATTTTAAAGATGAATATTAACTTTCTTCCCCAGACCTTCGTTTTGTTATTGGTGTATTTGTGTGTGTGTGTGTGTGTGTGTGTGTGTGTGTGTGTGTGTGTGTATGTTTAGGGAGTTCTATTTAGAACTTTAGTGTTGTAAATTTATCAATTTTTGTCTAGATAGCATTTTTTTTTTTTTTTTTTTTTTTTGGTACTGGGATCAAACTCATGACCTCGCACTTGCCGGGCAGGTGTTTATGCCCCTGAGCTAAATCCCCAGCCCCACTGCCTAGATAGCATTTGTGTTGCTGTTTAGTTTATAAATCATCTTTTCCACTCTGACATACCTTTGTTTTGTTTTGTTTTGTTTTGTCTTTTTGAGACACAGTCTCGCTGTACAGTTGTTCAGGCTGGCCTTGAGCTCACTTTGTAGCCTAGGCTGGTCTCGAACTCACAATGCTCCTCCTGCCTCAGCCTCCTGAGTGCTGAGATTGACATACCTTTTTTTAAGCTTCATGTTTTTCTCCTTTATGGTTATGTTGTAAAATATAAGTACTTGATAAATCAGAAGTTTGGGTATTGAACGAAGTTAGGCAGGGGTATATTGTTATTTTTCACAGATGGTTAAACATTTGTCTTAGTGCCATATGCTTAATTATTTAACTGTATGTTAGTGATTTTAAATGTGAACTTTATCCTAGGCCAATTTCCGGTAGTGTTTGGATCTATATCTTGAATATGATTTTGTCCTGCCTAATTGTCTGTTACTTTTCTGCATTATAATCAAATTTACTTTGACATCATACCTGTATAAAATGTTTTGATAACTGGTACATATAGGCCTCATTCCCATGCATTACTCTTAATTTAGCAGGTCTCTGCCTATTTTGGCTTACTCACTGTTCCATGCCTTTTTTATTTTTAGGAAAAAAAGCCCTTCTGAAGTATTCTTTACTTTTATATTAAAACTAGAAGTGACTAAACATTTTATAATTCAGTGTTTAAATTTGGGTACAGTAGTGGTAGTCCTGTATAATTTGTGTCTTATATTCCTATGCTTTCTTCTTTCTTTCTTTCTTTTTTTCATTCTTTCTTTCTCACAGGGTCTCTATGTATGGTAGTTCAGACTGGTCTTGAACTCACTGGGTAGTTTAGGCTGGCCTTGAACTTGCAACAATCCTCTTTCTTAGCCTTCTGTGTGCTGGGATTACAGACATGTGGCACCATGTCTGGTTGTTTGTTGTATCTTTTTTATGCCAAATTTATACATTTGTTAGTTAAGTAATTTTTGAGCGTTTTATATTTGTGCTTGCTCTTATTAAAGGGCACTTCTTCCCATTATAACTGGTTTTAATTACATATTTAAAGGCAACTTATTTTTTGCATATATTTTGTACATAGAGTAATATAGTGCCTAATTTTTTGTTATTTTCTTCATGGGATCTTTTGGATTATCAGATACATGGTTGTATCATTTGCAAAAAATATGTTTCAGTGTTTCACTAGTCCTTCTTTTTTTAATTTTTTTTTTTGGTGGTACTTGACATTGAACCCAAAGGTGCTCTGTGTTCTACCATTAAGTTACATCTCTCTCCATTTGTATTTTCAGATAGGATCTTAATAAATTGAGCAGGCAACAGTTGAATTTATAGCTTTCCTGCCTGAACCTCCCTCAAATCCCTAAAGCTGGGGTTTATAGGTACATGCCACTATGCCCAGTTCTTTTTAATTTGTATATTATTACAGTAGCCAGGAATATGTAGTTTTTAATCCTAGGTGTTGAAACAAGGGCCTTCGCTCTGGGGCATATCCCAACCCTTCAATCCTTTTTTTTAAGTCTGGAGACAGAGTGTCCCTAAGATTACCCAGTTTTAATATACAATCCTCTTGTTTCAGCCTTTCACAGTGCTGGGATTAGGCATGTACCACCATACCTAGCAAGAGCAGTAAACGTTAAAGAAGAGAATCTTAATTTGATTTGGAGACTATCAGTTGGTAGCAGTCAGACCCTGGAGAATTTATGTGTAGAATAAGCAGAATTTGATCACCCACCCATGTCTTTTAACAGTTTATATATGAAAATTTAAATAGTCACTATTGCTCTGCCAGTAAAACAGGATCATGGGAACTATTTACATACTTTCAAAATCCATATGATATTTTCTGTTACGTAGCAACATTTTCAGAATTGATCTTCATCTGAGGATACTAGAAATTTAATTGTTCATTATAATTCCAGTAAACTCAAAACCACAGTATGCCCCCTATAGCTGTCTTTCCATTGTCTGCTTTTAAAAGATCTTGATAGTAGCAGTCCGCATCACTAAAGAAGAGAAAGTTCATAATTTACTATGTTAGGCACTTAATATGTACTACAGAATATGATTAGTGCTTGACAACTATTACTTTTCAAATTTTGTTATCTGAAATAACATTACATTTTACACTTTTTTTTTCCTTTTTTCTTTTTATTGGTACCAGGGATCGAACTCACGACCGCCTGCTTGCAAGGCAGGTGCTTATGCCACTGGGCTAAATCCCCAGCCCCTAACATTACATTTTAAACAAAAGACATTTTGATCTTACATTGAGTAACCCTGAGTCACACCCTGCATGTGCCGGTATATATTCATCGATATGCAGATAACTTGTTAAGCATGACTAGCTGGTAAATTCCTGTATGTTTCAGTAAATGTACCTGAGGATTATCTCCTAAAGTAGCAAGTTTTATTAAACTCCTATATTGATAAAGCAGACTATGTTAAATTTATATACATAAAAAAGAAAAATCTGATTGTCATATAGTCTACCATTCAAAATAACTTGCTAATTAATACACCCCTCAAATTAATAGTGTACTTTACCAGGATATATTCTCATCAGATATGTGTAAATTACATTTTCCACTATGTCACATAGACATTTTTATAGTTCTCAAGGACATAATGTAAAAAGTGCAAGCTTAAGCACAGCTTGCTCATTGTGGAATTTGTTCATGCATGTAACTTATCTTATTTGCACCTTTCATTCTTTTCTTTTCTTTTTTTGTACCAGGGATTGAACTCATGACCACGTGCTTGCAAGGCAGGCACTTATGTCGCTGAGCTAAATCCCCAGCCCTGTCCAGTCATTCTTTTTGCATATGTCACATGACATATTTTAGAAATGTTTTAAGATATGACATTAAAACCCAAAGTACTACCAGTTCAGTAATTTACATATATATTGCATTTTAAAAACTTTATTGGTACATTTTATATATATAATAATAACATTTTCACATTCATCATAGAGAATTTGTTCCTGTACACTGTATATCTTCGTTTTTCCCCATTTCCATTTCCATTTAAATATATTTACTAAAATGTTTTAAAATTTTGATGAGACCAGGCAATTTACATACTTTATCAACACATAGAAGAAGATGGCACTACATCACTATTAAATGTCAAAAGTAATGAAAAGTTAAATAAAATGTAATGACAAGTATAAGTGTCTGTTGTAACTGTAATATGACATGAAAATTCCCAATTCCTCTTGGCAACAAAGTCAGTATTTCTAGGAACTCTGGTTTGTTGCCTACATTCATAATTTAAAAACATGTCAAATTTCACAGCCTAAAGAAAGCGTAATTTCATCCACAGTGCTTGAACTTCCCAAGCATAAAATATTCCATGTTACCTGCTTCACTAGTTGTAGAACATATGCATGGAAAAGAAAAACCTGATAACATGTAGACCCTAAGTGTAGCCCAATATGGAAGATACTTAGATTTTTCATCCTAGACTTATGCTAGCTAAGAAAGTATAACCTGAAAAGCCAAGCAGAGTGAAATATACTTGTAATCCTAGTACTTCAGGAGGCAGAGGCAGCAGGATAGCAAATCTGAGCCCAGTTGGAGAAAGTGATGTAGTGAGACCCTGTCTCCAAGTTAAAATAATGAAGGAACTGGTGATGTAGCTCAGTGTGAATGCCCTGGGTTCAATCCCTATTACAAGACAGAGAAAGAGACAGATATTGAGACTGAGACTAAACAAACATCTGTGTCTGCAACCAGCCATGGTGGATTCAAGGATGAGTAAGAGTAAGAAGCCATTGATGCACAAAATTCCCAGATTCTTTATAAAGGGGTAAGTTCTGTGGAAGTTGGAAGATCAGTTTTGTACACAAAGAATGGCTATTGCGACTAGATGTCTGCATTTTCTTTGTATGTAGGAAGAGAAGGTAATGAAAATAACAGTGAAGATTGGTTATATTGCTAAACTGAGTTCCTAAAATGAATTGTTTGCTTGTGTCTGAAAGACAAGAATATTTTCAGTAGAGTAGGTACTTAAAATTCATGCTATGAATTACTGTAAATATTGCTGTTTTCTCTGCATCTTTCAGGTTATTTTTATATGTATTATAAAGTTACTCATCAGATAATTTGATAAGACAAAGATACTTCATTTCCTAGTATATTCTGTATATACTCAATTCATTTTGTAAATTAGAAGTTAGAGTCTCTTTGCTGGTAGCTAAAATAATCCTCCAAAGTCTTTGGCCTTATCCCACTCTGGAGTTCAGTAATTGTTCTAGAATTCTGCATCCAAACTGTGCCTCTACTACCATTATCCTCCATCCCAAGCCAATGTCATTGATATCTCTGTTCTCTCTATTTAAGAAGTTCTTGGACTTATTTCCTAATGAAGTAATGACAGATCATAGTGAGGACTTCAAGAGTTAATGTATTTTATATTATGTTTTCTTGTAAATTACAGTAAGAAAGAAGGAATTTCTTATCACTGCTGATTCTTCAGTGTATTATGAAGCTCACACTTGGCTCAGATGTCAGCACTATTGTGGCATCAAATGTATTGAAATGAATTAAGACCCCAGTCAGATGACAAACAGCAATGCAAAGTCAATATGGAATAAAACCTTTTCTGTGATGCCATCTAGGACATCTCTCCCAGGATATTTTTTCCTGGTCATCACTGTACATAAAGTACAGACCATCACTTAAATTTGAATTTCAGATAAAGTGCATCCCAAATATAGGGTAGTAACCAGCATAGCAAAAGGGGACTTTGAAAATTAGATTTCTTTCCTTTAATGATAAGTGGCTCTTCCATACTTTCTTAGCCTACCCATGGCATACACTGCCACCTCCAGCTTCCTTAGCCCAGATGAATGGCTAGAATGTTCAGATGTTGAGACTAGGTCAAAGTTGTTTCATTTCCACTGGGAAGGGTGGGAAGTTGGGGTCCAGGAGGGAAAAAATAAGCCTGTTGTCCTATTGTATCATCATACACATACACACACACTGTTCCTTGCTGTAACAGACTTGTGTACACTTGTACCCAGTGGGGTACAAGTGGGTACTGTGTCTGCAGCCAGCCTGGTAATGTGTCTCATTACCAGTGGGTAATGAGATCTCTCAAACTTTTTAAAGGTGACTTTGAATAAAACCTTTTTCTTTTTCACCAAAACAATTTACTTTCTTTTATTTGGTTAGTGATGAGAAAATGAACTTAAGTATATGGACTTAAGTGCAGTTTTAGTGAAGCCAATCAAGAAACAAGTTCCAGCTCCTGAACAGCACGGGTCTCCTGATTACTGCTGGTGGGATGATAAGGATTTGAGAAAAAGGATTAACTGCTTTTTGCTAGCTGAACCTACTGTTAGGTCTCCAGGGATATTCTTTCAGGTGCCAGGGACAGTTCTGCACCCTAGGATTTCTATTTTCTTTTCTATTTGTGGCATCAGCTGCCTATAAATGCTTTTCATAATAGAGAGGAGGGGGGTTCTATCTGATTTTCTGCCAAAAAGTACACTCCTAGGATCTGGGATCAGGGTAATGGAATAGACATTTAGATCTTCCCTGAGTCATTCAGCAGTGCTAGTTGGGGATGAATGCATATTCATCATTTGCTGCCATTTGGATGTATTACAATGTGTTTGAGGTGAGGTTATTGATGGATGTTGGTAGAGATTTAGAGGTGAAAAAAACATTGCAGGTATTTGTTGGTTTGGAGTAGTTAATTTGGTTTCTTTGATCTTTTAATAACCCCTTAAATTACTAGAATGGTCATTGGGCTTTGGTATCTGTCATCTAGGTACTCTCTGAGCTGCATACTAAATAACTGATAGATGGCATCCAGGATACTATGACAAAAGAGTTGGCATATACTATTGTAACACTGCATGGTCTGCATATATGTTAGACTCTGGTGAAAGGTAGCCACTTAATGGTTCTTCAAACTATTATGCCATTTTGTAATTGCAGTAGTTTGGTCAAAAATCTGATAAATGGGATGATGATCATATTCAGGCCTTCTTGGTAATGCATAAAGAAGACCTCTAGAAAGAAGGGATCTACATTAATAAATTCAGAGAGAAGGTAGAACTTTTACTTCCTTAGATGGCATAACTTGTGAGGAAAAGGAAAATAAGGATATTAATTTTTTTAAATGCTTTAAACCCACTCCAATGGTTATAGAGGTATCACAACCTGTTCTTCTGGATAATGAGGGACCACTGGAGTTGCAGCTCCTTTACCGTGTGATAAAGCAGAAACAGACTCCCCTTTAAGATCCAGCCAGTACACTCAGTTTGGCCAGGGAGCTTCCCATTTTGGGGCAGGATAATATCCTCTAAGGCAATATCCCTTCAGAGATTTGAATCAGGATTAGTCAGCCGGGAGGATATTTCTGGGTAGTCCACCCTCAACCTCTCACTTGACTTGTTAAACTAGAACTCTAGTGAATCACATAGAAATGATCCATGGAGAATGACTGCTTTGCCACTTATTACCTCATCTGAGCCAGATAGTCAAGCTCTTTTGAATATTCTAAGTGCAAAAGATAAAAAGACTAGTGATTAGACAGTACCTCCACAAAGAAAATCCTGTAAGGAATCCCTTATTCTATCCTTATCCTATATTATTCCATCAGTAAAACCTTATCAGGGTCCAAACAATTGGGAAATAACTGAGAAAATTACAAGTAGTACATTCTGGCAGGACCCAGGAAAGGAGTACTTAACCTGAGAAATTGGAACATAATACATAAACATAAAGAGAAGGAATACCCAGATCCCTCTGAACTTTTACAAAAAATTTGCCAGTCATATAAGAAGGATACATAAAAAAATAAAAAAAGAAGGATACAGACAACCAAGAAGCTACAGAGAATATAAGGATGGTTAAATTCCTTAGTTGAGCAAAATGCCTGTGATATTAATAGAAATCTTCAAAAAGCAGAAAGTACTGTTGAAATGAATTCATCTCAATAGGTACATACTGCCTTTAAAATACATGATGCAAAGAAATTGTAAAAGATGAGAGACGCTGTTATCATAGTCTCAATAGGACAGAAAATAAAAAAGGAGAAAGACAGCTTAGGAACATAAAAGAGTCCTTAGAGGGACCACTGTGCATACTGCAAGGAAGAAAAGCACTAGAAAAATGTATGTCTCAAATTAAAGAAAGGGCATGGGAAAGGAGGAAGAAAGCATAGTACAATACTGTGATTTAGATGATGCATGAAGAAGCTCAGAGACTGTTCTGTCTTTCAGAGACGATCGTGAGTTCTCTAAGAGCTTCAGGTGCAACTGACAGGAATCAGATGATGAATTTTTTATCAGATGCAGATACTAGTTATTCTTTTCTTAACACTAAAATTGCAAAGTAGCACAAAGGATTGTAAATTTCAGGACTGATGGAGGAAATGCAGTAGAAATCCTTCCTCCTACCTCTGGAGTGTTGACTAGAAGACTTAAAATTCTTTACAACTTTCCAAAGTGCTCTGTCCTACTATTAAGAGGATAATTGTTATACCAATTAAATACTCAAATAACCTCTTTGAAAAGGACTCAGCCTCATTTGCAGATCCCACCAGAGCAAGCCATAAAGTTACAAATACGGTGCTCACTCACTATTGGGACACAATAGAAGAACTCTTTCCTTGAGGTCTACAAGAAAGTAAACCAAATGGTTAGATGGTACTCCAGGTAAAGTGCTGAATGCAAAACTAGTAAAAGTTGAATTCAAGAAGGAGTTTTTGTATGGGGGGGGGGTTTGCGGGGAAGTATGTCCTTAAGAAACAGGCTTTGCAAAAGACTCAGCTGGAGTTGCAAACATTTCTTTAATATGGATTAACGTGTACTTGTAAGTTGCCCTCAATACTGCATTTCTTCCAGTCGAGGAAAAAAGCTCATGAGTATAGTTTTGTTCAGGATTTGAGAGTTACTAATAAAATTGAACAGGAATTTCATCCTATAGTACCAATTCCTTATACTTTGTTTCTGTCATCCCTGGGGATTATGGATGAGTTTTCAGTATTAGACCTTAAAGATGCCTTCAGCATCTCACTTGAAAACAAAGCTCAGTTGCTATTTGCTTTTGAATGGCAGGATTCTGTATCAAAGGCACCTTCCAGTACTGTTGGACTGTACTGCCTCATGGCTTTAAGAATTTCCTCACCATTTTTGGCAAGATTTTAGCTAAAGACTTAAGAACTCTACAATTAAAAGAAGGTGGGTCTTGCTTCTATATGTGGATGTTGTGCTAAATAGCAGGTCAAGGTTATGAAAACTTTAACACAGTCATGGTACTTAATAACTTGGCACACTATGAATATAAACTGTCTCCTAGAATGGCTCAGATTTGCAAGCAGAAAGTAAATTACCTCAAGTTCCAATTAGAACGTTGAAAATGGAGTGCAAGGGGCTGGGGATTTAGCTCAGCGGCATAAGCGCCTGCCTTGCAAGCAGGCAGTCGTGAGTTCGATCCCGGGTACCGATAAAAAGGAAAAAGACAAAAAAAAAAAAAGAAAAAGAAAATGGAGTGCAATACCCAATTGGAAACAAGCAATTGCCAGCATCACAGTTCCTGTAAATAGGAGGCAGCTGTGAGAGTTTCTAGGCGGGTTTCTGTTTAATTTGGGTTTCCAATTTTTGGTCTTCTTAAACCCCTTTATGATGTTCGGAAAGGACTGGATTCAGAGCACTTACATTGGACTGCTGAATGCCAAGTATTTGACAGTATGAAAGAAGATTAACTTGAATTTGGGGTTGTCAAACCCTAAAAAACCCTGTAAGTTATATATCCATGAGAAGCAAGGCCTAGAATTACAGGTACTTTTTCAACTACTTGAGAAATCTTCCAAACCTATAGTTTATTTCTTCAAACATTTAAAATAGCAGCCAGAGTATGATCACCCTGCCTTGAAGGTGTTGTGTGGCCTCCTGCAACATTGGAAGAAACAGGCAAGTTCACCTTGGGACAGTCTATTACAGTTTTTGTGCCTCAACAAGTGTTGGCTTTACTACATCAAGAAGAATGATATTGGGTTGATGCTGAAGCAAATTGGCAAATACTGAATAAACTATTCTGTTAGATACTCAAATGTTCTCTTGCAGACTACTATAGCCCTAAATCCAGCTACCTTGTTCCCAACCACTGAAACTGGTTCTGATTCGCAGCATAATTGCTTTTGAATTCTCTGCAGTTTATTCCAGCCAGCCAGAGTTGTCAGGTCAACTGATGGCACCTTATAATTGGGAACACTACACTGGTGAAAGTAGCTTCGTGGAAGAAAAAAGACACTGAGCTGGGTATACTGTTGTGTTGCTGCACAAAAGGCCAAATTAATTGCATTCACCAGGGCCTTAGAAGTGTCATAAGGAAAATGAATAAACATATACACTGATTCCACATGTCCTTCTCTAATTGTGTTTGCGCATAATGCTATTTTGAAGGAAAATGGGTTATTCAGGATATAAGGATATTAAATATCCAAGGGAAATATTGGCTGTACTCGAGATAGTTGGTTTACCACTAGCAGGTGGCTGTGATTCACTACTCAGGGCACCAAAGGCTAACTGAGCTGCAAAATGAGCTGCTACAGAGGGACCATTCATTGGGGTTTTGATATTCCACTTGGACCTATCAGTTCAAACTTCATTGTAAAGAATGGGATGAGGAGGTCAGGAATCAGATTTCACTAACATGGACTCTTAGCTATGGAATCACTTCTTGGGCTTTTGACTAAGATCAAGTGTAGTATTTAACTCACTATGGAAATTTAATGATCACAAGATCTTATTGTCTAAAGCCCTGGTATATCCAATTTAAGTGTCTACATGAAGGGAATCACTGGCAGATTTAATATGGCCTTGATTAAAATGGCCACACCTTACAACAGACTGTCCAGAGGATTACATAAAGATGCTATCTGTGTGACAAGAATAATCCTAAAACTGAATGGAATTCCCTTCAGAGGGATACAGTATAAAGGAACATACCGTTTTCAAGACTGGCAAATAGACCACTCAGATGCATAACATAACAGGTAATTTAAAATTACTTGTATTTATGGATACTTTCTTTAGATAAGTAGAGACATACTCTACCAGAGTGAAAAAGCAACAGAATTAACTTTCCTCCTTAAGATTTTACACATAACTTGGAAACTGCATTCATCGTGGAGGTCACAGCCCATGGGAAAGAGAACCATACTTAAAACTACAACAACAAAAATACTGGCTAAGCTTTGTCCCGAGACTCAGGTAAAGAGGGACAAAGTCTTGCCTATTGCCCTACTCCAAATTAGGGTAGCACCCTGAAGTGTGCTTAGGTTCTTCTGCAATTTTGTGTTGGAGACCCTTTACCCTTTCTAGTCAATGTGTTAGCTACTCCACCTCTGTGTTAGCAAGTAAATTTAAATGGCATGCACAGCTATGAATCACATATTAACTGCTTTGCACCAGTTTGCTGGGTTGCTCTGGGTTGTACGTTCAACCAATGAACCACTCCATTCTACTGTGGAGATAAAGTTTGCTCAAAACCTGTAAAACTCAAAGGTCTATTGATCATTTTGGCTGAAAAGTGGAAGGGCTCATGTCAAGGAACCTTGTTAAAACTTGCAGGGATAAAGCCTTGGATCCAACAATCCAGAATCAAGCAAGCTTCTCCAGAGGAAGATACCTCTGGGCTCTCTTTAGACCCTGCTTGGTCATACACACCAAGAGAGAATCTAAAGTATTTATTTGTTTAAAAGGAAAAATAACTGAGATAAGTAATTATGAAGCTTCAATCTTACTGTGCCAACTGTTTTTTTCTCTGTGACATGTGATGGGTTGGGTAATACTTTAGCAAGAGTAACCAAAACTTTGGCTACAGTTTACCCACCTATGCCTCACTGAGCATACATTTGGGAAAGTTCTATAATGTACCCCTTATTGGATCCATCAAGAGGATGCTGGGGACAAGATCCTGACAAGTAACTGAGCATTAAGTACTATTTTAAAAATCTTTGATGAAATCTTAAAATCAGTGCTGATCCCCTTAATAATACAAACCTACATGTGGTTTAAGTACAAAATGTTGAGTATATAACAAATACATATGCAGCCCTCCAAATTAGCCACCAGGAGCAGGTGTCCAGTTATTCCCTCAAAAAGGGAAACAAAGATCTACAAACCTTCCATTCCCACATTCCCCAGGCTTCGCCTCTTCTCAGCAAGAAGTAGTTACGTCGGAAATGCTGAGATCCACATCCCTGTATGAAAATGGAATGAGGGGCTGGGAATTTAGCTCAGCAGCATAAGTACCTGCCTTGCAAGCAGGCAGTGGTGAGTTCAATCCCCGGTACCAATAAAAATGAAAAAGACAAAAAAGAAAAAAAAAAAGAAAATGGAATGAAAGGAATGACGGAGAAGTGTAATCACAAGGCCCAATTGTCCTAGTATGACATAGTTGATCGTGACTGGTAACATCCTGTAAAATAACTAAATTGTTTTTGGAAATTGCTACCTTGTGTATTGCTTATTATTTTAATGGCAAGAGCCATGTTCCTCTTAGTCAATAAGAGATAAACTTGCTTTGTTACAAAAATGTATGCTTAGTAAAATGTATAATAATTCTTACATACCATATTTACATTTTTTATTTCTGTTGTATGTACCTAAGGAATTCTAAGATACAGCCCAATTGCTAAACTGTATTTTGTGGTTTTGGCATGAATAAATGATGTTTTCTCCTCAAGTGGTAGTTCACATTCATTTACAGCAAAGGAAAAAGGTGCTTAATGCTCTTTTTTAAAACATTGTTCACAGATAAATTTCTCTTAATAGCTTGTTTTAATCTGGTTGGAAACTGAACTGTTGTTTGTCAAAGCTCTAATACTTTGGAGTGTTGACTATAGAGTAGATGAGATTAAATTCTGCAGTGGACTATAAATTTAAAACCCACTTTTTCTAAATCTCTGATACAGCTCAAATTTGGGCAAGAGGGTTTTATGACGCTGATTCTGTCACATCTCCTTCAGTGTTCTGACTGGCTATCCCCAGGGAAAGCAACTTTAATCCTTAGGAACAAAGCAACAGTCTGTTATTGATAGTGTTGTCAGAAAAGAAGAAAATGCATTCAGAGAAAAGAGGGGAAAGTTGTGCGTGTTAGAGTCACCAGTGTCTTAACTTTACCCAAAATAAGTAGAACTGCAGAGGTTATTAAAGAGGCTTCTTACACATGTTTACCTCCAGCCGAAAAGCCCTTTCATCAGGTGTCTCCTGACTGGCTCTTTGTATTTGACTGCATAATCTTTAGTGTATTTTTTGCAGGTTCGAACTACTTCCCTTTGCTTGTGCTCCAGGTACCTTTGATGGAATCTGCTTGCCAGTCTAACATTAGATAGCAGCCGAGTATATGGGACCTCACATTCCCCAAGATTGAGGGCCAGGCCAAAGCAAAGAGGGCTGGAGATAATAACCTGCATAGCAAAATGGAACTTTAAGGTTAGATTCCTTTTTCCTTTAGAGACAAGCGACTTCTCTGAACTTCAGGCCTAGGGCATAAACTGCCACCCCTATCTCTTCTCAGCCCAGACAAATGGACAGACTATACAGATGGCTGAGGCCAGGAGGTCAAAGTCCAGTTTCCTTTCCACAGGGAAGGAATGGAAAGGTCAGGGTCAAGGAGGGTTGAAAACTAGCCTGAACCTGTCTACTACCTTATTGTATTCCCACCACCACCCACTGTCTTGTCCTATGCCTGGTGAAGTGAGTTGGGTGATGTGGCCCCTTCATCTCAGAGCTGGATTTGAATAAAGGCTTTTTCCTTTCAAAATAATTATTTGTTTTGGTCAAATTAACCTGAGCTTAACCTAATATGAGCTAAATGGCCACTATTAGGTATATACCTCTAGTAAAATTTATTCATTTCACATACCAAGTTAATTGGGTGTCTTGTATTCACTAAATCTGAGACATGTAGTTCTAGCCATATTCTGTGGTTTCCATAGTATTCCTGTTAAATCTATTTCTTTCTGTTACAATATTCTAAATGATTTTGTTCCAGACCACATTTTATCTGACTTTTATGTTACATGTTATGGTAGATATCAGCTTTTTTTTTTTTTTTTTGGTCTTTTTTTGTCTTTTTGAGACAGGGTCTCACTATGCAGTTCAGGCTGGCCCTGAGCTCACTTTGTAGCCCAGGCTGGTCTCGAACTCACAACAATCTTCCTGCCTCAGCCTCTCGAGTGCTGGGATTATAGGCATGAGCCACCTCACCTGGCATAGACATCAGCTTTTTAAAAAAATTTTTCCTTTATTAAAGAATGTGGTTGCATCATCTGGTCAGTCATTTCTCAAAAGGGCCCATCAGTGTCAGCTTTTGGAAGCACCTCCCCTGTATGTAGCCAGCAGATCCTAAGGATAGATAGCAGCCTGCAGAAAATGGGCTTTGCCTGAGTAAGAAGAGCCACTACCATTGTCATTCTCTATTCGTTGTGGAGCAGCTCTTGCTTAACACTGATAGAGAGGCTGCCAGTTCAAGTCTCTAGAATCATTTCTCTAAGCTTCATCAACTTTTTTTTTTTTTAGTACTAGGAATTTAAACCAGGTCCTTTTTATTTTAGCACAGGATCTTGCTAAACTGCTGAATTGCTTAGGCAAAGTTCAAACTTGCAGTCATCATGCCTTAGCTTCCTAGAGTCCTGAGAATACAGGCCTGCACTACACATCCAGTTTAGCAATGAATTATCCTCACTGTGCTGGACACATATCTTTGAACATTTAAAGTGCATGTGGGCATATGTGTATTTGGTGTATCTCATATAATGTCCAGTGAATTTGTGGCCTTCTCCTCAAATTTGTTGTCATCTGGTGCTGGTCATGGATGAAATGATATAATTTTCCTTCATCCTTGTGCAGCTTTCCTGTCAGTACATTTTGTTGATTTTAATCCTCAAATATTTCTCAAACCTCTAGGTGGATTTTGGGAATCAGTAGACCTTGGAACCTTAACTCTGTTGTTTAATTCAACCCAGTCTTTATATATTTGCCAACTTTGGAGGCCTGGACTGTTGGCTTAAATTCTATGTGACATAGTTTTGACTTTTTTGTTGTAATTGGTTTTTGAGACAGGGTCTCACTATATAGCCTTGAACTTACTTTTTAGGCCAGGCTGGTCTCAAACTCACAATGATCCTCCTGCCTCAGCCTCCCGAGTGCTGAGATTATAGGTATGAGCCACCACACCTGGCTAGTTTTGACATTTTGCTAATGGTAATTACAGCGAATGTCTAAAGCCATTATAAATAAACTAACATAATAAAGAGGAAATAGTTTTTCAGACTATTATTTCATTAACATTTTTCCAAAAGCAGTATGGAAATTTGTAATTATGA